GTTATGTCCCTTAGTACCTCATTACTCAACTTACTTCCCTTCCGTAATTTCTCAAATCTGGTGTATCCAGTAGGTATGTCTTAATCACGACCGGCTCTAAGGGTAAAACTACAGAAGGTCGTGGTCCTAAGTATCACCTTTTACTCATTACGCCCTATTGGATTTTCTATCCATGATTCGATTGAAACCGCAGGAATGGTTAAACCTTTAAATAGATCGTACAGTCATGTTTGCTTGGAAAAGACGGTGGAGGGTACGGTTTGTGGAAGGCAAGGCAGAGTCGACCACCGCGAAGATGGATACATTACATTGAAGATGCACTGGCATTGAAAGTACATGGGGCTGTAGTGTTGGCTACGGAAAGTGATACTTTCAAAACTGCCGTGAGGAGAGCGACGTTCTGTAAAGGACTTGCTGATTGACGATGAGCCCGTACAGCGGTAGTATCAGGTACGCCCGAGCAACCTCTCGCCTGCATTTGCGCATTGCTTGTCAGTTGGTCAGGTTGAATGACTAACTGACTTTCTACCCCACCAGGACATCACACAAGCGATAAACATCCGATGACACAATGTGCCACCATGTGGATGAGGATCACCCGTGGAGAGGTCCCAGAAACCGCGTTCAGCCATTAGGCCATATTTATGGCCTGGCTATATTGCGGCCCCCGGCAAGAGCCAGGGTGGGGCTTCAAATAACGAAAAATTTCATTCTAAAAAGGACGGCGAATAGTAAGCTAAGGTGGTCAGCTCGTTCACTTTCTTTTATACCGAGCCAATGGCTTTAAACACACTTGTTCATATTACTATGATGATCTACGACAGAGATATTCGAATGGCGTGGGCAAGATCTGACTTGGGAAGGTGTGGACCGCGGATCTTTATCAGTTAATTATCTATCCTTGCTAGGGCTCGGGTCTCTGCCGATCCCCCTTTTCAAAACTGTGGCCCCTGGGTAAACTAAGTTCAATAACCGGCATACAGGTCTTCCCCCCCCCCCCACCCCTTTTTTGTGTGGCCCCCAGCTTTTCCTTTCTTTGGATCGCTTCCAACTTTTATGATGTCACATGGTGAGAGTAAACTGCAGTCAGAGTTTCAAGAAGTGAACAGGCAGACAGATCGGCTGGCCTTTTACAGCTGGTGGAAGAATACAGATGCATAAAGCAGGCGTGATTAAGAATTTATGGGAACACATGTACAATTTGGAATAGTGAATGGATCACCCCAGTCTGGTGAGAGTGATGCAGCGGGGATCGAGATGAGAGGATCTGGTCGATACGCGACGCACAGAGGAAAGGCAGGACAGACGTATTATCAGAATGCTACTGGCACAATTGGTCTTGGAACCCTGCGCTGGCTGCTGATGGGGGACGGAGCGCTTATGGGAATGCTGCAGGTGCTGTGAAGTCCGTTTTTGAGTCAGCTCAACTCTAGGGTATTATACCTTCTCCTCTTTTTTTGGTTTGATTTGTATATCTTTTCAGTTAATCTGGGCCTCTCCTTTCCTGAAAATTAAGTAAACTCCTTTCTATGAAGCCATATCAGCTATACTGGAGGTCGGGGTGGGGAATCCTGCTCTCCTAGGGGATTTCAGAAAATTATGCAAGTTTAATGAAGGTGCTTCAGAAGCACTGTTTTAAACATGGCACTATACAGTTGCGCACTGAACTGCCGTTGTGAAGAGAAACAAGAGTGAACATGTAAATATACAAGTACTAAGAATAACAGAAGGTACTTCATCGATCCGGCAGCCGCGATAGCCGAGTGACTAGATGTTCGACTAGAAAGTTTTGGGTTCATTTGCATCCAAACAGATCCCCTTTTCCCGCCCGCATTTCGTTGGCTTCCCGATCGACCCAGTCTAACATGGGTGCCATGTAAAAGCGCAAATAGGGTCCTTTACTCTGCTTCATTCAAGACAAGATCAAGTAGTAAAGAGAGACATAAAGTCGGCGTATCTTGCGTTCACTGGGCTTTTAGAAAGGAAACCTATGAACGCATGATGCCTTCTTCGAGACTTCTAGGAATAGGGAAAATAGTTAATAATTAGTAAACAAAACACAATATTTTGACAAAACTTAGAAATAGTTGCTTCGCTTAGAATTCTTTGCCTTCTGTGTTTACCTTACAAGGTCTGTTGGTATGTTGTGTTGTGGTTTACAGCTTCCTCTTCTTCTTCACTTGCTCCCATTACTTCAGCAAAGTGTTGGGGAAAAAGGAGGGAGGGGGGGATGTAAAGATCTTCTGTGTACCGATACCAATGTGTTGTATAAGGCTGTTTTTGATGCTGTTTATCCACATTCTGCATGGTCCTCACCTTTGCTCTATGTCTGTTATATTTCTTCAGCCTGGCTCTCTGTGGCAGCTAGTACCAGAGCACTCTAGTCAGAAGACGATATGGTTAGCAGCAAAGCTGCTATATCTTCAGTCAAACATGTCCAGTTTCAGCAAACCACTAATTTGTCACCTTTTATTACATGCTTGTTGGGGAGTAGTGGGACTGCTCCCCAGAACCTGTACAGGGAAGCGGGAGGGGGGTTAGAATGAATTAAACGTAAAACTTCTGCTACAGCTACCATGTTTTTAATAAGAAAATCCCTCAGCGCAACCCTCCCCTTTTTTTCCCCTCCTGAAGATATCATCATCATGTGCTATGCTGATATGCACAGAAGGTCATGATTTGCAATTCTAACTGAGGCTACAATTGTCCCTCTGAACAGTTAAACATTTCACTCAGCCAACTGCTGAAACTTTGATCACCCAACCTCATCATCATCCAGCCTTCTCACTTTCAGATCCTACGTCCCAGATAGACATAACAGCTACATACAGACATACCTAACTTTGGCATGAATTGGTGGAGTCACTGGGTTGTTAACTACCATAGAGGTTCTCATGTTGTCTTCGGGGGCCTGCGAAGATCGACCCCTTGATGGCAAATAATTTAATCAATAATTAGAGATTCTAAAAATAAAATAAAAAATGTACAAGAAAGATAAACAAATTGTAGTTTTATTTCAACGAACAATTTAAACATAACTTTCCAGATTGCAAACATAATGGAAGTCTTAAAGTAATGTTGATATTAAGCGGTGACTGCAGCGAAGCCCAAATCAAGAAGTGAATTAACACAACACAAAGGTACAGTTTATTGTTTCGCTGTTTCTTAATTCTTGTTTTATTTTGCAACAGCTCAGTTGCAGATTATCATTATAGTTTCCAATCATTACCATGGAGTGAGTTTCAGATAATCATCACAGAGTTTCAGATTACCATCAGAGTTCCAGATTATCATCATAGAGTTTAACATTATCATCACAGAGTGAGTTTCAGAATACCATCATAGAGTTTCAGATTATTATTGAGTTTCAGATTATCATTATAGAGTGAGTTCAGGTTATCATCACAGAGGAAGTTTCAGATTTTCATAATTGAGATTCAGATTACTCATCATAGAGTTTCAGCTTATCACCATATACTGAGTTTCAGATTATCACTACATAATTTCTGATTACCATTAGAGAGTTTCAGACTATCATCATCAAGTGAGTTTCAGATTATCATTAGAGTGTTCCAGATTATTATTAGAGAGCTCCAGACTATCATCATAGAATATCACATTATCACTGGTGAGTGAATATGCAATAGCTTTGCAATAGCAAAGGATTTAACGACTGGGCATGAGTTGGTTGAGGGCCTATGCTTCAGTGGGGGATAGAAAGGCAAAAGAAGAAGCTGGGTGAATGCTAAGAGGCCTAAGTCTTGTTTAAATGTGCAACAATAATTTTACTATTATTATGTGGCTGAAAAGCAAATAAATATATTTGAAACACTCAATAAGCTTAGATGTGTGCTAAATCAAATGGGTCAGCTATTGAAGCAGACGTGTTCCAGTGGATCGCAGGCCACTGCAAGATTCAGGGAAATGAAAGAGCAGACTACTTGAAAGACATTCAGTACAGCGAGATCCATGAGAGCCTTATGGGGAAATAACATTCAGATAAAAGCAGTCATTAGTCTCCTTTCTTCAGGACACAATCTTGACAACCCATTCAACCTCCTCACACAAAAGAAACAGACTATTATATTTAAATCGGGTACTGGACACAGCCAGAAAGCATTGGCAAACTCATCATCATCATCAGGTGCTTTGCCAACTGGCGTGGGCGATCATGCCTCTTCATAATCCGCGATCTCCTGCAGCATGTATCAGTTCGTGTGCTGACACACCTCCATGCCATGCAACAAGACTGTCAAGCATCTTCTCTCTATCCCTCCTTCCACGGATCTTCCCAGTGGTCACAACATGTTCTATTTTCCCTCTTCTCATAACATGGCCAAAAAATGATGACTGTCTCTTTCTGATGTCTGTGATAAGATGTCTTTGGGCTCCAGCCTCTTTCAAAACCTTTTGGTTGCTCTTTTTGGCTGTCCAAGGTATTCTAAGCAAACCTTGTCAAACTACTGGACATAAATTTGCCTAGAAAAACTACAACAGGGGTTGGTTCTGCAACAAAAACTAGACACAGACTTTAATGTAGCCACAAATACAAGAAAAAAACCCATCTGGACTTGGGATTCAAAACTATGTCCAGAATACTAAACATGTGATGCAGACAGGCTGTCTACATGTAGCAGAGAGATTCCAGGTCTGGTCAGTTGGCATTCCCATGGAAACCAGGCTGAATGGAACAGAGAAAGACATGCGTCGCACCAGAGACTTCACAGAGCCTGTGACCTTTTCATCTGAAAACCAGGGGCAGGGAAAACGAACAGATACAAGAAAAAATAATACAAAATATATCAACAAATACTTGAATAGAACTACACAGGGTTAGGGGAACCATTTAGACCCTTGCATATTTTCTGGGGGATTTTCTCCAGGTCATGCCGGTGTGTTGGGAAATGAGCAGGCAGATAGACTGGCAGGATCTGCACCACTTGGTGGTGAACTGATGTATGACAAGTTAGATATTGGGAGGGCGCAGATAGATCTAAGGAGAAGAGCACTGCGAGGAGTTACCAGGGGATCTAACTGATGCTCAACACTCAGGGAAAGGATGAGACGGATATACGATCAGACGGTTAATGGTACCATCAGAATTGGAACTCTTCGTTTGCTGTTGAAGATGGGGACTGAGCACACATGGGAGTGTCCTGAGTGCTGTGATGTCGATTCTTAATTTAACATTGTGGTGGAAAGGGGGGGGGGGAGCTCAAGGTGCCTGAGCTCCCAAGTTACGACGCCCTTGCTTCTAGCTATGACACTGAGTCTATTAATTTTCCACTTCACGAAAGAACAGACTATCAGTACTAAAACTATCACTTCAATGAAATTATTGTACTACAATTTGTAGTTACCTAGTGGCCGTGTGCCCGAATTTGTGGGATAGCGCTGACAGGTAAGGGACTTTAATGTTGTAAGGCATGGTGCTTCTGAATTGAACTGCTAATGTGGAACAATCTGAGACTGGCTTAGTGAAACTGGGGGTGTGGAAGAAGCTCTGAAGCTGGCGATGTGAAGCTGGCGATGTGAAGCTGGCGATGTGAAGATGGCGATGTGAAGCTGGCGATGTGAAGCTGCGAGAAGCTCTGATGGAGCTAGGTTTCGTGTCCAGACATTTTTGTACTATGGTTTCAGTAAAATTGTGGAACCAGTCAGCGAAACAAACCACGGCACCGTTCCGGGGCTGCCATTGGACGGTTTCATACCCTTTGGTAGTGTATATGTTTTGGTAGCATGACAGTTTTGGAAGTGTACACGTTTTTGGTAGCACGACAGTTTTGGAGGTGTACACGTTTTTGATAGCACGACAGTTTTGGAAGTGTACATGTTTTTGGTAGCATGACAGTTTTAAAGATGTACACGTTTTCAGTAGCATGACAGTTTTGGAAGTGTACAGGTTTCTTTGCAGCATGACAGTTTTGGAGGTGTACACGTTTCTGGTAGCATGACAGTTTTGGAGGTATACACGTTTCTGTGTAGCATGACAGTTTTAGAGGTGTACACGTTTTTGGTAGCATGACTTTTTGGAAGTGTACATGTTTCTTTGCAGCACGAGTTTTGGAGGTGTACACGTTTTTGGTAGCATGACAATTTTGGAGGTGTACATGTTTTTGGTAGCATGACAGTTTTGGAGGTGTACACGTTTTTGGTAGCATGACAGTTTTGGAGGTGTACACGTTTCTGTGTAGCATGACTGTTTTATAGGTGTACATATTTTTGGTAGCATAAGTTTTGGAAGTGTACACATTTCCTTGTAGCACGACAGTTTTGGAGGTGTAAACGTTCTTTGTAGCATGACTGTTTTAGAGGTGTACATGTTTTTGGTAGCATGAGTTTTGGAGGTTCACACGTTTCTTTGTAGCGTGACAGTTTTGGAAGTGTACACGTTTCTTTGTAGCATGACAGTTTTGGAAGTGTTCACGTTTCTTTGTAGCGTAACAGTTTTGGAGGTGTAATCGTTCTTTGTAGTGTGACAGTTTTGGAGGTGTAAACATTCTTTGTAGCATGACTGTTTTAGAGGTGTACATGTTTTTGGCAGCATGAGTTTTGGAGGTTTACACGTTTATTTGTAGCATGACAGTTTTGGAAGTGTACAGGTTTCTTTGTAGCATGACAGTTTTGGAGGTGTACTTGTTTCTTTGTAGCGTGACAGTTTTGGAGGTGTACACGTTTCTTTGATACTGGTTTCACAGGAGCTGAAGAGGTGGAACTCTTCGTCGGCTGCTGAAGATAGGGACGGAACACTTATGAGAACGTCTTGACTGCTGTGATGTCGGTACTTGTAAATGAACTCTACTCAAGGTTTTGGCATGGTTGGTGTTTAAAATGGTCAGCTAAACTTATTTTTATTATTATTAATAACAATAACTTGTCTCCTATTGAACCCACTCAAACTGGACTACCTGTTACTTCGCAAACATACAGTGTCCCAATATATATGTGTTATATACAGCTGAACAGGGCTTTTAGGATTTCTACCTATATGATTCTCATCCTCTCTGTCTGGGTTGCAAAGCCTTATTGGGGAAGGGGGGGGGGGAATATAGGACAGCTGCTCTGGATAAGCATGTCACAAAAATTGAACAATATGTGTGTGTGTGTGTCAGAGCGCACCATTTACTTCCCAGGACAATATTCAATACCCATTCTATTCTAGGTCGACTTGGGTTTGTGTGTGCATGCATATGTGTTTGTATATAATTTGTTTTGGTTTAAGTTAAGTTAGTTGTGTATCCAAAACAGGACGTTGCAGAACCACCCCAGCATTTTTGGCTGTTGTGGTTTTTCTAGGAAAATTTTACGTTCAGTAGTTTGCCATTGCTTGCTTAATGGTCAGCTCTCTGTACCACTGTCGAAAATAAAGCAAGACGGATCGTCTGCACCGGGGATCGAACCCGGCGTGCCTTCGCAACACCTAAGCCACAGAGGCCAACATTTTGTTTTAAACAATCATTTTCATTAAACAGAGAACATCTCTACTGATGCTCCAGTCGGTACAACTCACAATCCTGTCCGCATGAGCCTATGTCTCAACGGAGCGCAAGATTTCCTGTCAGCTCCCATTCATGCCGAGGCCATTTCCACAGACTGCTATATGTTCTAGGGTGTCACATTGTGTTATTTTCAACACGTTCTATTTCCTACGTTGTTGTCAGTGGTCGGTGGCAGTGTGCCTTCTGCGGTGCCTTTTCATTGCTATTCCCTGCGGCCTTACTCAGTGACTTGAACTGTGAAATGAATTTCCTTCAGCTATCATCATTGGTGAGCAACAAGCAGGGTAGTATTGCTTTTGTGCAGCAACATGGCATCTGTAAAACACAAGGCTGCCAATGACTGGTTCCAAGATCTGGGCTTTTTAGCTGCCGTCCAGGTTTCCTGGTTTTTATTTTCAAAATTATGGAAATTTTGTTTTTTTGAGTCTTATTGATGAAAAAACTACAATAAATAAATTTCTTAACCAGAATCATGTGTGTACATATAAGCTAACCCTAACACCCTCCACCATGACCTTGAATCAAATTTTTCAGGGTTTGCCACAAAATGCCAATTCAAAAACATGTGTCAGTTCCATAAGAGACGTAGTTGAAAGGGAAAAAAAACTATGCACAAAAAATACAAACTGGTCGCTCAATGACTGTCTGAAAGAGACCTGTGCATTCTCCTTGTGTCGGGCCTGGAGAGATTTTCCACTCGGTGTTTAGAGTCCGTGAAACTGGGGAAGAAAGGCATAGGCTAACACCTCTAGAACATAGAGGAGCCAGTGGGAATGGCCACAGCCATGAATGGGAGTCGACAGGAAATCTTGCACCCCGGTGAGATGCGGGCAGGCTCATGAGACGTACCCTCCAGTCTCCTCACACAGGGATAAACTCAGTACAGCATCTGAACTCTTATTGTCCTTGCGAGGATCCAAATTTGTATCTCTTCTTCTTCTTGTGTTCGCTTTCTGATTTACACCGACAGACAGGTTCTTGTGATAAACTTGACTGTTTTTATGAGTTCATTTTTAGTCCCATACAACTTTGTGTACAGTGGTGACTCACTGGGCCAGTATTCCTTTCTTAATGGGCTGAACAAGGGACAGTCTTGCAGGACATGTTCTGTAGTCTGCACACATAGCCCACAAGGGCACAAAGGTCAACTACTTAGACGAAGCCTGTGCATATGCTGGTTAAGTTTGTTATGTCCTGTCCTGAGGCGTAGGACAATGACCTGCCCATGCCGGTCAAGTAAGTGGTAGTCATCTCTGTTCACTTCTAATAGTCTGGATGGCCTTTTTCTTCTCATAGTATGTTACTGCATTCTCTTCCTGGTCACATTCTGCCCCTTTCTTAGCAAGTTTATCTGCGGTTTCGTTTCCTGGTATACCACAGTGGGATGGCACCCACCGGAGTACAGTACACTTTTGGGCAGCCACCATTGCCAAGTTCAGATCTTAGGTGAGGGAGTTTGCCACTCTTGAGGGCTAGAAGCACTGATAGCGCATCTGTAAATATGACCACTTGGTAGCAGTCAGAACTGGTGTTGTGTAACATTTCAGCAGCCTGCTCTAGTGCTACGATCTCGGCTGTGTAGTTGGAACACAATTTACCAGTGGGTATCCACTTTGTGTGGCGGTGGTTGCCTGGGTATGTAATAAAGACTCCAGCACCCCCATTTTTAACCGCACTGGTTGCTGATCCATCTGTGTAAAATTTGCATCTCAGAATCATATGCTAAAAATATGCATTTGTTTTTGTGGGCAACTCTTTTCTTCTTCACTGTCACCAGTCGCAAACTCCTGCAGAAAGTTCTGGTTGTTCATCCATTTCTGGATTTTAGTCTTGTCCTAAAACTTGAGTTTTGTGTGCACATCCGTTTGACCAGTCCAGATTATTTCTTATGGCTGGTCCCTTGCCTCTGAGGTGGATGCACTGCAACTTTGAATGAAATATCCTTAATTGGTCGACTGTTATGCCACTCTTGTTAGAGGAACAACTGTTCTATTCTCTCCACTGCTCTCCCCCCTTCCCCCATAATGGGGTCCTGGGAATCATGGTGAGGCAGCTTCCTGAATTTGTAGAGATTTTGACTGGGCAGCAGTCTATTGAACTCTTTTCCTTCTCCACTTGCCAAGGGAGTGGAGCATACAATATAAACCTGGACCACTTTTTCACCCTTGTCAGAGATGACCTTCCTGCCCCCTACGCCAGCATTTGAGGTGAAAACTGAACCACCCCCCCCCCCCCCACCCACCTCTTTTTTTTGGGTGTTGTTTTGTTTTTGTAAAAAATCCAGTCAATGGTGTGAGACAGACTGTCTGCTAGCGTCTCAAAAAGCCTGCAGCACTACACGGGTATATCTATGACCATAGCTCCTACACACATTTAACGTAAGACCATTTTACACTCAAGGACCCAAATATGACATTTATTATGCAAACACTATCAAAAAATGTCTCATACATCATAGCAATCATCCTATCCTGTCGAACACACAACCACACAATCAATCAGCCCACACTGTCACACACACAACTAGACACACATGTGTCTGCCTTGGGTGGTCATGTTTTCTGCACCTTCACCTGCAGGGAATTATTGACTGCAGCTGAGGTAGCTTTAAAATACTTTTGTCTAAAAGTCAGCATCTCGTAGTGATCAACTTCAATAGATGCTCCCTGAGGCTCAGAGACTTCCTGAAAAATAACAATAATACACTATTGTTTACAAGTGAGAGGATCTATTTCGCTGCACTATATTTTATTTCACATGGCTCAGTCTCTCTCTTCAGAGGCTGGTCTGTCCGCACCATCTATACTGTCTGTCAATACTATCTATACTGTCTGTCAGCTTGTCCACGCCACCTATATTGTCTGTCAATACCACCTATACTGTCTGTCTGTACCACTTAACCTGTCTGCCTGTACTACCCATACTGTCTGTCAGCACCAACTATATTGTCTGTCTGTACCACTTAACCTGTCTGCCTGTACCACCCCTACTGTCTGTCAGCACCAACTATATTGTCTGTCTGTACCACTTAACCTGTCTGCCTTTACCACCTATACTGTCTGCCTGTACTACCCATACTGTCTGTCAGCACCAACTATATTGTCTGTCTGTACCACTTGACCTGTCTGCCTGTACCACCCATACTGTCTGCCTGTACTACCCATACTGTCTGCCTGTACTACCCATACTGTCTGCCCGTACTACCCATACTGTCTGCCTGTACTACCCATACTGTCTGCCTGTACTACCCATACTGTCTGCCTGTACTACCCATACTGTCTGTCAGCACCAACTATATTGTCTGTCTGTACCACTTGACCTGTCTGCCTGTACCACCCATACTGTCTGCCTGTACTACCCATACTGTCTGCCCGTACTACCCATACTGTCTGTCAGCACCAACTATATTGTCTGTCTGTACCACTTGACCTGTCTGCCTGTACCACCCATACTGTCTGCCCGTACTACCCATACTGTCTGCCTGTACCACCCATACTGTCTGCCTGTACTACCCATACTGTCTGCCCGTACTACCCATACTGTCTGCCTGTACTACCCACACTGTCTGCCTGTACTACCCATACTGTCTGTCAGCACCAACTATATTGTTTGTCTGTACCACTTAACCTGTCTGCCTGTACCACTTAACCTGTCTGCTGGGTACCACCCATACTGTCAGTCAGCACCAACTATATTGTCTGTCTGTACCACTTAACCTGTCTGCCTGTACCACTTAACCTGTCTGCTGGGTACCACCCATACTGTCTGTTAGCACCAACTATATTGTTTGTCTGTACCACTTAACCTATCTACCTGTACCACTTAACCTGTCTGCTGGGTACCACCCATACTGTCAGTCAGCACCAACTATATTGTCTGTCTGTACCACTTAACCTGTCTGTCAGCTTGCCTGTCAATAACACCTTTACTGTCTGTATATACCACCTATATTTTTTTAGTCTGTTTGTCTGTTTACACCACCTATACTTGTTAGTCAGCGTGTCTGTCAATACCACATATACTGTTTGTCATCATCATCACGTATCCTGCCAACTAGCGTAGGCGTTCATGCATCTCCACAGATCTCTGTCTCTTGTTCCACCAATGATATCCCTCCATGCCGCCGCCGCAGTCCATCCGCCATCTTCTCTCTTGGTCTGCCTCTCCCTCTTCTACTGGTGATCTTCCCGGTCGTTACGACATTCTCCATAGCCTCTTCCCTCATCACATGACCAAAGAACAGTGCTTGTTTTGTTCTCATAGCTGTATTTTTTTATCTGCTTTTATTATCTTCATACAATCCTTGTTAGTTACTTTGGCAGTCCAAGGGATTCCTAACATATGTCTGAAAAACCACATCTCCCTCACTTCCAAGGTCTTTCTAATTTGTGCATTCCCAATCCATGATTCACTAAAATACAGCAAAATAGGTTCTACATAACAATTTAGTACTCTCTTTCGGACATCCAGAGAGAGTTACGTGTTGCACAAGACACAAGATGTTCTTCATTCTGTGAAATGCAGCCTTAGCCTGGCCAAGTCTGCTCTTAATTTCTGACACTTTTTCCCGCCTGATGTTATGATTGTACCCATATATTTAAATGTATCGACTTGGATTAACTTTTTACCTTCTATTCTAATATCACAATTATTGTGAAGTGATGGTATTACTGTGGTGGTAGTCTTTTTTTTGATATAACCATATCTTTTATACTAGAAATAAATAGGCAAAACAAAATTCATACCATAAATTCCAAACACATACAGATATTACAAGTGACAAAACAACAGACCTGGTGCTCACAAACTTTGACCATGGTGATCAGTCTCCTTGAGATTGTGGTACTCAACGGCTGTTCACAGTTGAATCTTACCTCCAGGCAAGGATGTTGTGGGATATTGGACTCACAGTAACTAGAAGTTTGTTTTAAACAAGCAGTTTTAAATGGCATAAAAATTTTCATTAAAAACAGTTTCCTAATGATTATCTGTCGGCTCTGTGGTTAAGTCGATGCGAACGCTTCGTAATGCCGGGTTCAATCCCAGCTGCGGGCCATGCACCTTGCCTTGGTTTCGACAGTGGTATCACGAAAGCTGACTGTCCAGAAAGCAATGGCAAACTACTGAACGTACATTTGCCTAGAAAACCCACACAACAGCCAGGGACTGTTGGGGTTTGTTCTGCAACGTCCTGTAAAGGATACGCAACTAACCTAAATGATTATCTATATCTTTGACTGAACAGAGTTCAGGGAAAAACAATGTGTGCTGTCTCTATTCATGAAAAACCCATGTGTGCGCTGTTTCTGTTTGGGGAAAACCCACATGTGCTGTTTTTGTTAAGGGAAAACCCCATTTGTGCTGTTTTTGTTCAGGGAAAACCCATGCATGCTCTGTTTTTGCTGAGGAAAAACCTACATATGTTCTGTGTCTATTAGGGAAAAGCCACATGTGCTCTGCCATTGATGTCTTGGTTCTGTGGACCAAAGTCTCACCAATCTGGTAACCAGTTACCAACAACTATGGTGGCATTGTGTCATTACTTATCACAATGGTGGCTGGGCCACCCTACATTATATGTTCAGGATTTGATCTTGGTATCTCATCAACCACAGATTACCAGTAGCACCACGATTAAAAGTACACCTATCTTTCTCCCTGATTGTGACCCTCTGCTCACTCTTCAGTGAATCAATCTTGCCACTTAAGGATACTTTATCTATTCTTTAGCCTTACTAACTTGATCTCAGAGAGAATTCATCAAATCGTTTATATAGCAGCTTACTAGCCAGACAGAGGTGTGCAGCAGCCAACCTATCAGCCTGTAAAATGCCCTGCACACCTGTAAATCCCAGCTAGAAAATCTAAAATATGCTCCTGATCTGAGTCCTACCAAGTGATGACAACCACCCCACACATAAAAAACCTGTTTCTTTTCTCTGAAACATGTTCTGTGAGTCATGTGTGATGTTAATGAAAAATTTTGTTAAGGATATTAATTAGTGAAATAAATATCACCAGAAAATAGGGTTTAAGAAAGATACAATCACCGGGAGGCACAGTAGGTAGTGCATGCGGTCCAGGTACAATATAGAGGTCGTAGGATTGTGTCCGTCCACAACGGATCTGGAGTAGACCCAGCTTTAACCACACCCACACAAAAAGGGGCATTCGATAATTTCTAGAATTTTCTGAAAATACCTTTTTCTTTGTGTTCACAGGCTGTAAAGTCCTGCAGAAAGTTACAGTTGTTTGTTCACTTCTTGGTCTTATTCCAGAACTCTGATTTTGCATGTACATATATGTTTTACAGGTCAGGCTTATTTGTATGCAGACAGGCACACGCACTCCAGTATTAAAGGAAACACTCCCAATTAGTCAAATTTTACAATATGTTAGGGAGCAGTGGCTCTATTTTTCTCTCCCATCCCCCCCCCCTTCCCAGTGATGCCCAGGAACCTGCACAAAGATCTGGAAATGTAATGGGAAAGAAAGGTGATGAATGGAACTGGCCACATTATCTCATATGTAGTGGCTCAACATTTCACACATTCAAATGGAAGCATCTACTCTGGAACCAGCTCCACCTTGACAACCACCTGAGAAGAAGCAGCAAAATAACAAAGCAAATAGTGGAAAATCATGCATTAAATTGCTGACACTTATTCCGGTCTGTAGATGGGTAACCAGTAGACCAGGCGGCCTCCTATACACAAGAACTGACACATACAAGTGCTGGCAACATACAAGTGCTGACACATACAAGTGCTGACACATACAAGTGCTTGCAACATACAAGTGCTGGCACATACAAGTGCTGACACATACAAGTGCTGACACATACAAGTGCTGGCAACATACAAGTGCTGACACATACAAGTGCTGGCAACATACAAGTGCAAGTGCTGGCAACATACAAGTGCTGGCAACATACAAGTGCTGGCAACATACAAGTGCTGGCAACATACAAGTGCTGGCAACATACAAGTGCTGGCAACATACAAGTGCTGGCAACATACAAGTGCTGACACATACAAGTGCTGGCAACATACAAGTGCTGACACTTACTCTGGTCTGTAGATGGGTAACCAGTAGACCAGGCGGCCTCCTATACACAAGAACTGACACATACAAGTGCTGGCAACATACAAGTGCTGGCAACATACAAGTGCTGGCAACATACAAGTGCTGACACATACAAGTGCTGGCAACATACAAGTGCTGACACTTACTCTGGTCTGTAGATGGGTAACCAGTAGACCAGGCGGCCTCCTATACACAAGAACTGACACATACAAGTGCTGGCAACATACAAGTGCTGACACTTACTCTGGTCTGTAGATGGGTAACCAGTAGACCAGGTGGCCTCCTATACACAAGAACTGACACATACAAGTGCTGGCAACATACAAGTGCTGGCAACATACAAGTGCTGGCACATGCAAGTGCTGGCAACATACAAGTGCTGGCAACATACAAGTGCTGGCAACATACAAGTGCTGACACTTACTCTGGTCTGTAGATGGGTAACCAGTAGACCAGGCGGCCTCCTATACACAAGAACTTGGCAGCAAAGTTGAGCAGGTCCTTGAAGATATCTCCCAGCTGGTAATTGGTCTTCTGAGGGTAGTGGGCTGCACCACTGGCGAAATACACATAACAAGAATAACAGACACATATAAAGATACAAATTTAAATTGGGGGGTGGGGGGCATAGTAAAAGACAAAACACTCCTATAAAAACCTACTGGGGGACAAAGCTGAAGGCAAGCAAACAAGAGAGCAAATGTAACAAAACCCATTTTTTGGGTCAAAGCGAAAGAAAGTGGGTATTTCTTTGATTCTTTGTATTTAGTGATTACTTTCCTTCACAAAAAAATGATCTTTGCACATAATTGAGATTAAATAGAAAAAATCTATTTTTTTGATGACTTGGGCTACAAACGTTCCACGAAACAAACCAGGAAGAAGTCAGATGTGTCGACAAAAAGGGCGTAAATACTGCAGCTCTGATGTAAACAGGCACAATGCATTTATGCCACTCAGACCATGATAAAAAAAAAAGAAGAAGATGAACCCAAGATCTCTGCGCTGGCAGGTGTGTGGCCACCATACTACCACCCCAACCCCTTTTTAAAAAAAAAGTTGCAACTACTACAGAAATAAGTGCTGCACTTACTAATCTTCTGCTTCCTCTTGTAGATCCCTTCTGACAATTTTCGATGCTGATTCCCTGATTCCATAAGGAGCTTAACAAGAAATGTGAAAAAAAAAAATGAAATAATTTGTACAACATAGCAAAGTGGAAATGTATGTACAATAACTGAACATCATACGTACCTGTGTGAACAAACAATGTGTAATACCTAAGGCAAATGAGGAAATTGTTGGTATAATCAATTATCTTCTTCTTCTTTGCGTTCACCAGCTGCAAACTCCGGTGGAAAGTTTGGTTGTTTGTCCACTTCTAAACTTTAGTCTTGTACCAGAACCTGAGTGTTGTATGCATATTTATTTTAGACTGTTGGATCCTTGCCTCTCAGGCAGATGCACTCTGACTTTGAAGGAAGCCTCCAAGCAGTCGACTCTTATAACATGCTAGTTAGGGAGGTAGTTGGTCTATTCTTGTTTTCCCCACAATTAGGGGCCCAGAGCCCATGGGGGGGGGGGGGGGGGGATAATAAGTTATAAGACAAGGAAGATGGCAATATAATGACCATATTCTAACGAGAAACGGAGAATCATCAAACAGTAATGAAAAGGTAAACAAATGAATTGAGGAAACAAGAATAACCAAGAAAAACCCCTAGATGAACATTGTTCAGAGATACCAAAGATGTAAGACTGGATTCCATTCAGGAAATTAAACACATTGCACAGAAGAGAACAGAATGAAAAAGCAGACTGTGAGGGTATGGCTTCACATACCAATGGGTTTAAAGATGCACCAGTGACTGGCCATCTGTGGCTTAGGTATTGCGAATGCTCTTCCTAATGCCAGGGTGCTGGGTTCGATCCCTGCTGCAGATGCTTTGTCTTGCGACTGGTTTTGACAGTGGTACCAACAGCTGACCGTTCAGAAAGCAATGACAAACTAGTAAATGTAAAATTTGCCTAAAAAAACCACAACAGCCAATAAATGCTGGGGTTGGTTCTGCATAAGTCCTGTAAAGGATACGCAACTATCTAAAGTGACAGGGCGGTTGACTAGGTATTTTTGGGTCAACTGTCTATACTAATAGGTCAGAATTGTGCTTACTAATGTTGCTGCAGGGATCCATGATTGAAGCAAAGAATCGAAAAACAATAAATATATTACATGTTTTCACCATGTGGATTATGGGATTACAGTCCAGAAGTGGATAAACAACCAAAACTTTCTGCTAAAGTTTACATCTGGTGAACTCGAAGAAAAATAAGAAGAAATTCAGAGTGCATCTGCCTGAGAGGCATGGAACCAACAATCTGCATACAAATAAGCAAGATCTGTAAAATGGATGTGCACACGAAACTCCAATAGAAAGCTGGTATTAGCCACCTCATCCCATACAAAACTAGCTGCAAAATCCAACCAATCATGAATGTAACCAGAGGGCTTGGTGCGCAGAGATGTGGGCCTGTTATTAATTCAGGAAATGACAGCCCAAAAATGTGTTCCGCTGGCCACCTTAAAAAAAAAAAAAACCATTTCACGTCTGTGGCATATGAGGCATGTGATACTAGACCTACACTTTTATAGATCAACTGGCATTCAGTACATAATGTGCTCAACATCATACAGGCTGTATTTACTTCCCATTACCTAGGATTTCAAGCATGACCTTGGCTCCCAGGTTGACCCAGCCTTAAATGGGTACCTGGTAAAGTCCTGAGAAGTAAAAGAACCGGTGTAATGTCAACCACATTACTCATCAAGAGCCGACTCATTATCATCATGTGCCCTGCCAACTGGCATAGGCGCTCATGCGCCTCCACAGATCACGATTCCTGGTTGCCTGGAACAGCTCTCTTGATGATATCCCTCCATGCCATCGTTTCAGCCCATCCACCACCATCTCTCTTGGTCTGCCTCTACGCCTTTTTCCACAGATGAAGTCTAAAAAAATATTTTTTTTTAGACATATGCCCGATGCACCTTTGGCACGTAAGGGACCTTTACTTTTTCTTACTTACATTATCTGGAACTAATTTTAGGCTAGATTGAACTGGAGCAACAGCCACAAAATGATGCAACCCGATGCAGATTTGAACTTGAGACATTTGGGTCTGCAGGCAAGCATCTAGCTGCTATATCTCTTGGTGATCACTTGATTCACTGGGTGTATATGTGTGTGCACTCGAGGGGGCCTAGCAGCATGTACTAAACGACTAGAGGCACAGGTACTGGTAGCAGTACAGTTCACTTTATATGTGTGTGCATGTGTGAGAGAAAGAAGGAGAGAGGAAGGGTGGGAGTGGGGGAGAAACTATGTATGTAACAGTGATTTTACTCAATACATTATCTTTTACACTATGTATTCAACTTACGATCAGTGATGATAGCATCAAACTTCCAACCATCTCTCCACATTTTCTGTAAAGATGCATCTGCAACCAGCACATCAATGTACTTATTCTCTAGCCCATACTGTCGCAGGTTGCTTTGCACACTCTCATCCTCGGACCTTGTCTTCTGCTTGGCTCGGCTCGGTCGTGCTGATGAAACACAGGTGGCAGCACTGAGGTTCAAGATACAGGCAACTAATGTTTCAGTCAAACTGGCACACATTGACAAACATCAAAAACAACTGGCAATGGCAAAAAAAAAAAAAAGGAAAAAAAGAAAAGATAGTCAGCTACTTGTAGATAAGCAAAAATATTCAAACTAGAGACAATATGCCAACTGTCGAATACAAAAAAAAAAAAAACAGTACAACCAGTACCAGATTGCATACATTAGAACTAGCACAGGGCAAACACTTATTTCACCACTAAGTGTTTCAGCATCAAAGAATGACTTTGTTTTAAAATTATTGCTCAAAAATAAAATATAAAAAACTCTTCATAAATTGGACCTCAATCATAAAGAAGTCTTCAGAAAAACTATTTCAGCCAGCCGAATGAATAATTTCCTGTGTGGGTTTCGTGGCCCCATTTGAAGAGACTCGCTGGCTGTCTAACAAACATGTCACAAAATGAGACTAATTAGGGGTTTGCTGAAGTTAATCTGCTGGGCCAAAAGGTACAGATATCATAGCCTAGCTGTAAACCACAACACAACATGCTAATCACTATTTTAAGAAGAAATGAAGAAGAAGGATGAATAATCACATGCCATGCTGACAACTGCGAGATCACAGCCCATAATATGAAATGACTACCAGAATCAGATGAGGCCCAAATTCAACAGTAAGGAAAAAACAATCTTTAGGCTCAAACAGGGCACTGTGGTTACACCTCACAGAACTGGCACAAAGAATCTGCCACCACTAATTGCGCAGCAGACAGACAGACAAAATGACAGACTGCGGAATAAGCACAGCAGGCTTGCCCAGTTAGACTTTTAACTGTGGAAACGGAACTGAGGATTCAGGCTTTCAAACATAAATGCTGTAGACGAATTCTACAAATTAGATATTTACAACATAAAACTAACAAATATGTAAGAGAGAAAAGTAACAAATCTGCTGGACGTCAGGATCCTCTTCTGGCTATGGTGAAGTGACACAAACTAGTTTGGTTTGGGCACATGGTAAGAACTGGACTTGATTGCACAGGTGTGGTACTGCTTCTGTCGACACACCTATATGACACTGATGTTATGTATGTTATAGGTAGTCATCAAAATCTTCTTCCTTATGTTCATCAGTTGTAAACTCTGATGGAAAGTCCTGGTGTTCATCCACTTCTGGACTTCAGGGTTGTCCAGGACTTGAGTGTTGTGTGCACATACCATTTATAGATCTGGCTTATTTGTGTGCTGGGTGAAGGTCAAAGTAACCATTAAGTTGTGCATTGTCTCAGTAATCTAACCGAGAAGGCTAGCTCAGTCAACTAATGTTTAAAGAAGTTGGATGTGTCGGCAACTCCCCTGGTAGAAAGGTTTAAATATCATAGACACACTGCAAACAGGCTGGTTGGCATCTTTGTATCATCAGTGTTTCACTGTGCTGAAGAAAAATGTAGGAATCGTGGCGATGATGAGTGACTCTCTAGTGCACACAGCCTGTGCAGTAATGTAGAAACTATCTTTTGCCCTGAAATTCTTTCTCAGTCTGCTTTATTTCCAAAGGAAAGGTTAACAACAATAGGTTTGCAAAAAGCAAGCTGCAGAATCAGAAGAGCAGTGCCGTGGGTGTCCGCCTGTCAGAGCTTCCTTCCTAGACCACCTGCTGATGAAGGACAATGCCTGGTGTGCCCTGCCACAAAACTGAGTTTTCACACTGCATTTCCCCATCCTAAGGCAAAGGTAAGTACCATGCAATTATGATTCAAAATAAAAAAAATTATAGGAAACCATAGCAACAATATTATTCTTTTTTTTCTATTTACCTTTTGCATGAAGAAGTAAATAGTCAATGTCAGTGCCAATGACATACGCTCCAAAATGTGCACTAGAGACAAGCAAACTACCTGCAGAAACAAAAAATATGAAAGAAATGCAACAGTGCGAATATTTTATAAGGTAGATCAGTTTTGGTGTATGAGGAGCAGAAACATGGACAACAGTTTAAATGATTGCTAATAAACTATAAATATTCATTACCTGGTGCCTGTGCAGAAATGTAGGAATTAAATGACGTGACAGCATCAGTGATGTCAATGGAACTTTGACAGAGAACACAAAATTATACTAAATCAAAGGGTGAAGAAAAGATCTGTGTTTGTTGGCAGAAAGTCCTGGTTGTTTGCCCATGTCTTGACTTTGGTCTTATTCCAGAGTTGCAGTGTTGTATGCACATCCGTTTTAGAGATCTAGCTTATTTGTATGCAGATACTGGTTCCTCTACTTTAAGGCAGAGGTACTCTGAATCCAAAGGAAATGTCCATCTTATCTGGTCAGGCCAGGCCTCCAGTAGGAAACCTACTTATAGGATGATCACAGAGAGGTCTTGAACAGTTTGAACCCTACTGCACAACTAGAGATACTGGTTCTACACTGCACCCCAAAGAAAAGATGGTGGTGGATAGGACACACTGAGAAAACTTGATAACAGAATAACTAGAATGTTTTTACACTAGAACCCATAGAGCCAAAGGGGTACAGAAAGATCCTGAAGATTCAAGGCCACAAGGGTGTAGGACAAGTAGGTTTAAGTCTGAAGATTTAAGGCCATATGGGTTAAGACAGGTAGGTTGTGAGCCTGAAGATTTAAGGCTACATGGGTGTAGGACAGGTGGGTTGTCAGCCTGACGATATAAGGCTACATGGGTGTAGGACAGGTAGTTTGTGAGCCTGAAGATTTAAGGCTATATGGGTGTAAGACAGGTAGGTTGTGAGCCTGAAGATTTAAGGCTACATTGGTGTAGGACAGGTAGGTTGTGAGCCTGCAGATTTAAGGCTACATTGGTGTAGAACAGGTAGGTTGTGAGCCTGAAGATTTAAGGCTACATGGGTGTAAGACAGGTAGGTTGTGAGCCTGAAGATTTAAGGCTACATGGGTGTAGGAGAGGTAGGTTGTCAGCCTGAAGATTTAAGGCTACATGAATGTAGGACAGGTAGGTTGTGAGCCTGAAGATTTAAGGCTACATGAATGTAGGACAGGTAGGTTGTCAGCCTGAAGATTTAAGGCTACATGGGTGTAAGACAGGTAGGTTGTGAGCCTGAAGATTTAAGGCTACATGGGTGTAGGAGAGGTAGGTTGTCAGCCTGAAGATTTAAGGCTACATGGGTGTAGGAGAGGTAGGTTGTCAGCCTGAAGATTTAAGGCTACATGGATGTAGGACAGGTAGGTTGTGAGCCTGAAGATTTAAGGCTACATGGGTTTAGGACAGGTAGGTTGTCAGCCTGAAGATTTAAGGCTACATGGGTGTAGGAGAGGTAGGTTGTGAGCCTGAAGATTTAAGGCTACATGGATGTAGGACAGGTAGGTTGTCAGCCTGAAGATTTAAGGCTACATGGGTGCAGGACAGGTAGGTTGTGAGCCTGAAGATTTAAGGCTACATGGGTGTAGGACAGGTAGGTTGTCAGCCTGAAGATTTAAGGCTACATGGATGTAAGACAGGTAGGTTGTGAGCCTGAAGATTTGAGACCACATGGTTGTAGGACAATGAGAGGTCATGAACCTGAACATTTAGGACCACATGGCTACATCAATCACTGTGAACTGTGCAGGTTAAGCATTATCCATTTCTTCCTCTTCTTTTGTTCGCCTGAAATAAGTTGCCTATATCAGCAATTTAGTCTCTTGTATAAATTTCACTGTTGTTGTTAATTTTTTCAGTGGTCCATAGAGTTTACGTTCCACTGTTGTTCATTCTGACCAAAAGGTTTGCCTTAATGTGTCAAATTCGGTGTAGTCCTGGAGTACATGCTCTGCTGTCTGGGGCACCTTTCCACAGGTGCATATGGCTGAAACGCCTATCTTGAATTTTGTGTATATGTGGTTATGTAATCGGTTGTGCCCTGTTCTGAGGCGGAGGATAATGACTTGTTCTGGTCTGTCCATAATAAAATAGTCGTCTTGTGCTGGGGCTGGTGGTTTCCAGGCTGATTTAATGATTCTTTTCTTTTGGTGGTATGTGACTGGTACATCCGGCCGCACTTTTGTCGCACCTTCTCTTGCCAGTTGATCAGCTTTCTCATTTCCAGGCACTCCACAATGTGATGGTATCCACTGCATTACAAATCTTCGCTGAAGGCTAAGTTGTGTCAACAGTGTTTGCAATTCTGGTAGTTTCCTAGACTGGAGTGCTTCAAGTACTGATTTTGCATCTGTCAGCATTACCACATACTATGAGCCAAGATTGGTATTTAGCAGTTTCTCTGTTGCTATCTTGATAGCCTGAGTTTCTGCATCATAGTTATGGCAGTACTTTCCGGTTGGTATGCTGGACTTATCCCTAGTACCATCTGGGAATTCTATGTATACTCCAGCACCACCATTTCTAACTGCACTTTCTGCGGACCCATCTGTATAGACTCTGACCCATTGTTCTTGTGGGTATTCTTCATCAATATAACTGAGGGTGACCATTCTGCGTTGTACACTATCTTGTTCTTTCTTGTCAAATATTCCTTTCACATTTGTCTGGATTTGTACTGTTAGTTTGTATTTCTCTCTCCATGGGGTTTGTTCTGGAATACTGTTAAGTGAACAACCAATTTCTGGAAGGTCAGCAGTTTGTCTACGTATTCTTTTTGCTTGATGTATAAAGCTGCTTCTTTTTAACCGTCCCATGGCTAGGTTCTGAAATCTATTTTTCATGGGGTGATCTGGCATACTGAGGAACTTTTCAGCTTGTATTTGCAACTTTGTATCTCTGCGTTCTCTCAGTGCCTGTGTTTTCCCAGCTTCTCCATTTCTAATATGGGGGTTGATTTCATCCCTCCTGTGATGACTCTAAGTGCTTGATTTTGCACTTTGTCTAACTTCTTTAATGTGGTACTAGATGCTGAACACCATGCAGTTGACCCATATTCCAAGTGTGGAAGTATGCTCTGCTTGTATACTTTATTGAGTATTTTCCGACTGGCTCCCCATGTGGTTTCACTTAGTTTTCTTAGTATTGCTGTCTTCCTCCTGGCTTTGGTTGCTGCCTTGTTGATGTATTTTGTCCATGTCAACCTGTCATCAAATGTGACTCCGAGGTACGTGGGCTCTTTATCATCTCTTAGGGATATTCCGTTTATTTTGATGATGCCCGCTTTTTGCTTTGGGGAGAGAGTGAAGAGTGTGGTGCTACATTTGTCTGTATTGATGCTGACACACCATCTATTCGCCCATGCCTCAAGTGCATATGTAGCCCGCTGTAGTGTTCTTGTGGCTATCGTTGCATGTTCATCGGTGCACCACAGTACCAGGTCGTCGGCATACATTGTCATTTTGATTCCATTTTGTATTTCAGCAACCAGGTCGTTGATGAATAAGAGGAAAAGTGTGGGCGACAGGACACCACCTTGAGGGACGCCATGTCGCAGTAGAACTTTTTTACTTTTGAAACTATCTACCTGTACCCTGGCTCTTCTGTTATGTAGATATGCTTTAATTCAATTGTAAATTCTTCCATTTACTTTATAGTTTCTCAATTCCTTCAAAAGAAAATCCATTTAAAGCAATTACTGAGATTGGTACAAAGGGTTACTGGGTCAGAGATGCAGTAACAGAAACAACGCACATCCTAAGTAAAAACATTACAATGAAATTACCTGAACCCACAAAGGGGTCAATTACAAAATCATTCTCTTTAACCTGTGCCAGGTTGGCCATCACCATTGAAAGGCAGGCATCCATGCTGGTGTTAGCTGAAACAATAATAACAACATCTGACCAATCAGGCAACATAAGGAAAATCATGAATACTTCATTTGGCAGCACTTACTACTTCACAAAGACACTTTTAATTCATTTCACAAAACATTATTATTGGTCAAGTCTGTGTTCTTATCCCTCTCACCATGTAGTAGAATTATCTGAGATTTCTTAGAGTTCGCCGGCTGTAAACTCAGTGGAAAATTCTGGCTGTTCATCCACTTCAGCACTTTGGTCTTATTCCAGAACTTGAGTTTTTTATTTTTGTGTACACCAGTTTAACAGATCTAGCTTATTTGTATGCAGACTGTTGGTTCCTCGTCTCTCAGACAGATGCACTCCGACTTGAAAAAAAAACAACATAATTTGTCAACTTTTACAACATGCTTGTTTGGGTTTACTTCCATCTTCCCCACCCCAAATGGAACATACGGAACCAACATAGAGATCTCTTAATTTCAAATGTGACAACTATCACTAAGAGTTAAAGCCAGAGAAACTGTGAATCACACAGTTAAAAAGTTCAAATACAACTACCACATGCAGTACTTTATATACTTACAACAAAAGCTACAGAAACACCAGTGAAGCCACTACATTTATAAGTTTTGTACATGTCACAATGCCCACCTATGAAATGTCTGTTCTGTAAATGATACTCTCTGATCCAATCTCTCTGACCATCAGAAACCTGTATGGACAAAAGATTAAAGTTAAACACTTACTGCTTTAAATTATTAACATTATTTGTTAATATTTTCTGTGTTAACAAGGCAATTGGTAAGTTATGTTGTGGTGTACAGCTAGGCTGCAATAACTGTGCCTTTTGGCCCAACACATCAGATTTGATTTCAGAAGACCACTGATAAACTGCCTTTTGGGACATGCTTGTTAGGGAAGCGCTGAGACCATCCAGTATGAAAACACCACAAATGTTTAGAGCTGACTTCAGCATTTACCAGAAAACACAAATTCTTGTCTTCTATTTCTCTCCATCAAGTTAACTCAGTGAAGTAACATAACGTAACCCTTGACCTCTTAGGGTTGTAGAGACACTAGCTCATAAAAGCCGCCATCTTTCTCTGTCTTCTGCTTGATGAGTAAGTGTATGATAACTTACTCCTGTCCATTTCTTGATGTTGTCATTCCAGAATTTTCTTTGCCCTCCTCTGCTTCGACTACCCCTCATGTTCCCTGAAGCACAGTCTTTGCAATCAAATCATGTCTCACCATGTGCCCGAACCAAGCTAGCTTGTGACGTGTCACCACAGTCAAGAGAGGCTCCTGATGTCGTGCAAATTTTGTCTCTGATATATTTATTAGTTTTTGTGTTCTAAATAACTAACTCGTAAATGCGTCTATAGCATTTCTCAGCAAAGTATTGGGGGGGGGGGGGGGGGGGATGGATGTGGTGTACGTAAGAATCTTTAGTGTGCTCTTGTTAATATGTTGCGCAAGCTGGTCTTCACTGCTTTGTCTTTTGCACAGGCTCTCTTTCCCTGGCTTCGAGCTCGGTATATTTCTATAATATGACTCATGGGAGTATACAGTAGTTAATAGATACATGTCCTTATTTCGTTCCAAAGCAATGGATGTACACCAAACGAGAAGCATACCAAATAGGAAGTATACCAAACAGGAGGCATACCAAACTTGGAAGCATACCAAATAGGAAATATACGAAACAGGAAGTATACGAAACAGGAAGCATACCAAATAGGAAGTATACAAAACAGGAAGTATACTAAACAGGAAGCATACCAAATGGAAAGTATACCAAACAGGAAGCATACCATACAGGAAGTATACAAAACAGGAAGCATACCAAATGGGAAGCAAAGCAAACAGGAAGCATAGAAAACAGGAAGCATACCAAATAGGAAGTATACCAAATGGGAAGCATATCAAACAGGATGCATTCCAAACAGGAAGTATACCAAACAGGAAGCATACCAAATAGGAAGTATACCAAACAGGAAGCATACCATACAGGAAGTATAACAAATAGGAAGCACACCAAATAGGAAGAATACCAGACAGAAAGTATACCAGACAGGAAGTATACCAAAGAAGAAACATACCAAACAGAAAGCATACCAAACAGGAAGTATACCAAACAAGAAGAATACCAAATACGAAGTATACCAAACAAATTTGTCCATGAGAGAAAAAAACAGGAGAATGATGAATCAGTTGCCACTAAAAGAAATCCTACTGCTACTGGCATATTATACCCTGATGGGGCTGTGTAAAACAATTTAAACACTGCTAATCCCTACTTGAACCTGGTTGAGGTTTAAAAGTTTTAGCACGCGAGCTGTTATCCAAAACAAAGGTTGTATACGAGGCAACATTTTCAACATCTAAAAAGGATGTATACAAAGTTGGACTTATTTTGAAAAACGTTTGATGTATACAGAGGTATCACTGTAGTTGCAGCCAGGTTAAACAGCCCTTAGAGATTTAAACTGCAATAAAAATCTTACTGGTGGTAACTAATTTTCTGTTTTAAAAAAAATGGAATGTCTTTATGACCCCTGACAGATTTCCAAGATGTACAAGGGACCATTTTTTCTTTCTTTCTGGGTGTACATTTCATGAAGGATATACATCTGATCCATATAACATCCAAGGATTCATTATTTTTGACCATACATAACTGGATTATGCCCCAACACTGTCATGGTCATCCACATAAACCTTAATGTTACAGGGGAAAAACACCACGGCAGTACAGGCTTACCCATCGGCCAAAGTAAACTTTCTGGGGTTCATTTGGGGATGTAATAGAATCAAACTTGTAGAACTCGAGCAGGTGAAAACTATTGTCAGGCACCGACAGGTTGATTTTTCCCTTCAATATACAGGTAGACTCTGTCAGTAGTTGCTGTAACAATGTAGAAACATTGTGTGATCAAAAAATATCTCAACAGAAACAAAAAGACGACCAACAGAACATTTGTTTAAACTTTTATTTCTGTAAACCTGTGTCAAACATCTATAACAATGAGAGTGCCACCTAAAACAAATCAAGTTTTTATTGATACACAAGGGCATATAGAGGTTACATAGAAGTCTAGTCCTTTTTAGGCAGTTGAATACAAATTAAAATCTGGGCTAACACTGCATCAATGCACTGTGTTAATTTTGTAAACAAAATTTATCAGATTAGTAATGATTTGATTCAAGAACCGACATTACAGCACTCAGGGCATTCCCATAAGCACTCTGTCCCCATCTTCAGCAGCCAGCAAAGAGTTCCGATACTAATGGTGCCAGTAGCATTCTGTTTAAACGTCCGCATTGCCTTTCCTCTGAGCATCGAGCATCTGCCAGAACATCTCGTCACTCCCCCCTGCATCAATCTCACCAGACTGTGGTGATCCATCTGGTCCTCTGAGCTGTACACGCTCTCCTACAAGGCACTAACCCCGATTAGTAACACAAACAGTAAAGGTTTCTCTACACACTAGTGGCTCATCGGGCATATGAAGCAAGACTATATTTGTATAGACCAATCAGTACTTAGTGGGTTATGTTGTCAGCATCATGCCAGTCGCGTTTACTTCCCAGGGCTTTTATCAGGTATCTATTGAATGCTGTGTTGACCTGAGTGCCAAGGTTATTTCTGACGAAAATGCAGTACAGTCCAGATTTGATTCCACGACCTTCTGATTCGCTACACCAAGGCGGCTCACTAATTATAAGATCACATTTTCCTTGTTTTTAGGTACAGCTGGATGCATGAAACACTGTTATAAAGGTTTAAATGTTTAAGCAACAGCAACAAAAACCAGAATTTGTTTTCCATTAATTATAATGGGGGAAATGGTTTTGTTTTTCAAACAATTCAGTTTTTAAACCATATTTAGGAACAAATTAGATTCCAGAACTGAGGTTCTGCAGTATAAGTAGCAGCACTTTCATTAAAATATCAGGTGACGGAGAGTAGTGAAGTATGGTCAATGCCAATGGCTGTTCCAGACTAGGCACCTAAAGTACCCTGTGACTAAAATGAAACATGCTCAAACTGAAACTTCCAGAAACTGAAACGCCCACAAACCTCGATACGTCGAACTTTGTCAGCACTGCTAATTTTTTTGTTGAATGTTTCCACCACAATACGGAAACTTGAATTTTCATCTGTGTATGGTTTCTGTGGAGAAATAAATGTTAAATCTCAAACAATACACTAGCAAAGTCCAAACAGTGATTACTTGTCAGCTACGACACTACTTTAAACATCTCCACTATGCCTTCGGCACTGCATGCAGGCATATGAATAAATTATCATGTTGCGTACTGATTTGGGAGGGTGTAATATTGTGTGAAGGGACAGAGTGGTATGATATTTCCAGGAAATCAAGGGAATGTCTTGTGAACAGTGTTAACATTGGCCCAAGTGGTAAGGGGGAGACAATGTTGGGACAAGTGAGAAATGTATTATCACGGAAGAGGCATGAGCGCCCGAAAAAGTAGATGCGTGGGGGTCAGTGTGGGGGCTGACAAGCATGGCTAATGAGACGCACAAAGAATGTATGAATTACGTGCCAGCGCGATTCTCATGTAAGCCTGAGCCACCCACATGAGTGATTCTCGTGTAGTCTAAGAACACCCACACGAGCGTGCCTCTCCTGTAACATCAGCCACCCACATGGGTTTGGCAAGGATATATTCGGGCTGTGTAGTCAGTCTGAGTCTGACAGAGTCTGAGTCAGAGTCAGTATCTCTTGAGTGAGACAGACAGAGTACCGTGCACCCATCAGACAGTGAGACTCTCAGTCACGGTACTGGTCGAAGGCAGAGTCCCGCTGGTGAAGTAAGGCCAATGGGACTGGACGCTCCAATAGTGACTGTTCTGGGTGACGAGACTTAGGATCACCATGGAAACAGAACAGTGTGGATGCCGACAAGAGCTGTGTGCTAGAGGGGGTTTGTGCTAGAAGTCCTATCGGTCATCAGAGTCCTTTGACAGGCTGATGTGCTGTGGGCACATGCTGGAGAACGAGCAAGTGAAGTCCGTTTCCAGTCAGCCGACATATCTGCTGAAGTAATATCAAGGTCCAGTTAATAGGAGAGTTGTTCCTGTTCTGTACAGCGAACCCAGAGTTGTGGGACGCTGTAGACCTTATGAGCTGTAGTGGTCAGGGAGAGGACGCTACAAGTTAAGAGAGAGTGAGTGAGGACTATGTTTCGAATGCCAAGGATCAGGATCAATGTCTACGTCTCTATGCAATAGTGTCATTGTGAGGGCTTGTGAATACCCTCATAAGTTGTTCCAATAAACTTGATGTATGGCGGAGCTGACAGCGTCGTGTCGTAACTCAGTGTATCAAGTGAAAATCTGTACCTGTGGACACTTGGTTGTGTGATGATATTGTGTAACTCAGATAGCACACAACAAATCATCAAGTGGGTCTTTAACAGAATTTCAATCCCATCACTGACTGCCTTAAAAAGCTCGGCTCCTCCGAAGCTCCCTCGCCTCATGCACACTCGTATTCCCAGTGTGGGTTCCAGGCTCCCAGATTGGGGGAAAAAAGACCCACTGACTTCATAACAAAGCAAGTTGTATAAGGCAACAAATTAGGGGTGTTTCCTTCCAAGTCAGAATGCATCTGCTTAAGAGACGGGCAACATGCATACAAATAAACCAGATCTGCAAAAATGTATGTGCATGCAAAACTCCAAGTTCTGGAACAAGACAAAAGTCTATAACTGGATAAATAACCAGAACTTTTTGCTGCCGATGAACACAAAGAAGAAGAAGATGCACTTTCCCGCCTGTAACCACCTTTGCTGCTTGGCCCTGTCCCTCTTACCCAGTACCACCTCTCTGCTATTGTTTTTCTTACAATCTACAACTGACATGTCACATGGCTAAAGAATTTTAGACAAGACGAGTCAATTGTTCTTGATGTTCAGACCTTTTCGAATATCAACAGTCTTGGTAGGTGTACGTGCATGTGTGTGCACATAACATATGTACACATAAATATGTAGCCAAACATAGCCCAAATCTGTAACTGTGACAGAAAAGTGTGATCCTTCTGTTGATTTTTAGACACTGTGGGTGGTAGAAATATTCTTACTTGAGCCAAATGATACTGTTAATCTTCTGAGGCAGGTCTTATTTAACAAATCCTCAATGACCATCTATCATTTTTCATCTGCTACAGTAAAGGTCCCTTTACACGGCAGGCATATGAGGCTAAACTCATATTTTTACAGATTATTCAGCCATCGATGGGCGAAGCAGTCAACGTCATGCTGACTACCTTTACTTCCCATGACCTTGCCTGGTACCCATCAACCTGGGAACTAAAGTCAAGTGAAAAAAAAAATAATCCAGCTTCATGCGGATTTAAACTAACTGTCTTTGGATCCACAGATGAGCATCTAGCCGCTACATCACTGCAGCTTTCTTATGTTATATTTCCCCAATTTCTCCAACCCTGTAACTTCTGTTCCAAGTGCATGGACATCCTAGTAATAATGTTACCAGGTGTTCTTAAACTGAGTGTTTCCACCCAACACCACTGTATTTCCCTCAATTTTTGATGAGCTGAAACGTGTGTAGTTCTCTCACTAAGTTTCACATTAGTGATTCTGTTAAAACCATTTCATTTATTCTAGATTTCACTGGCACCAATTCACTAATAGCACATACATCTTCTTCTTCAGCATTCACAGCTCCCAAGGTTCACTGCTGAGGATATCACCTAATCCCTTCATCTCTGTGACTGGCTTTCTCTTTCCAGTTGGTGACTCTAAGTTGCAAGTCTGTATATTGTCTCTTAACTAGGGGGCTGAGTGGTCTCAAGGCATGGTGCTCGCCTCGAGTGCTAGAGGTTCCAGGTTCAATCCCCGGGAAAGAGATGGGATTTTTTAATGGGGACTTGTACTTCCCTGGTCTCTGGGTAGCAATATTGGATGCCCGTGTGCATTGTTGCGCACGCAAGAAATCCATTGGCAGTTGGAAATCGAAAAGAGTAGCCTAACGGCGCTGCCTGGGCAAAATTTGGAGTTAAATCTACTTAAGTATTTCAGGATCCTCGCCGGTGCACTGTGCTGAGCTTCTTCGGACTCAGGCTTGAGTTAGAAGAAGAACGGAGCACTTATGGGTTACACCCGTGTGCCATGATGTTGATCCACTGTTCAAAACCTCAAACCTCTTCACTATCTTCTTAGTCCGCCTACGCACATTCAATATCTTTGTGTACGCAGTTTGTGTCTCTCTGCCATTCTCTCTTTATGCCCTAACCATCACTGTCTATTAGGCCTTATGCTGCTAGTAATTTGTGATTTAAACAGATCATAAATTATGTTGTTACTTCTCACTCACCATTCCTTACTATCTTATCTTTGATGGGTCCAAAGATTCACCACAAGACCCTGTTCTCAAAAGTGTGAAATAAGGTGTCATCTCGCAGAGTTTCACCCAAATCTGAGGCTTAGATATCTATTTTATGACAAAATAAGGTTTTATGAAGGTGCGGATGTTGCCCCTACGCTGCAACCTTTAACCAGGAGGACCAGACTGTCTCTATTTGCCTCTTCTCTATCCTCTGACCTGTCCCACTAAGGAAGCCCTGCTTGTAGCTATGCTACTGCCAGCGTAGCTCTCAGGGTAGACAACATGCACACACTCACTATAAATCCATCTGGCAATTTCTGGAGCTTTGAGACCACTTCGGACACTGTTGTGCCCTCTGCCCATAACTCATAAAGCCTCCTGAAAGTTGACAAGAAATATACTCAAACTGTAATCATTTAGGCAGGCAATATTAAAATGTAGTCAACATATAACCTAGCAGAATATAAAACAGCAATATATGGTCAGGTCCGGATTAACAGAATATACAACAGCTATATATGGTCAGGTCCGGATTAACAGAATAAACATCAATAAATGATCAGGGCCGGATTAACAGACTATACAACATCAAGATACGAACTCTTCATGTGGGTGCCAGAGCTTTGAGTGGAAGACCCACTGCCCTTGAAATTAGGGATGTTCCCTTCGAAATGGTGATCCTCCTGTGAGGGGAGGAACCAATCATATGCATTCAAATAAGGGAGATAAGTCAAATTGATGTGAACACAAAACTCAAGCTCTTAAAAAAAAAAAAGACCCCAAAGTCCAGAGGTGGACACCCAGAACTTTTCACTGTCTGGTGATTAAGTATCCGTGTAAATCACAGCAGCCAGGAAATCAGACGGATGATTCATACATGCTCTCAGCTGCACAGAAGAGAACAAGCAGCAATATACCCCACACACAACACAGACTGACCATCTTCATCAGCAATCAGCTTTCACTTTGTACTCCAGCAGGGTCACAAGCAGGATGTAACCCTTGAGGTCTGACCAATGCAACATAGTTTGTCTTGCAGGGTCGCTGCTTTAAGCAAGATTTCTTGACTGTGACTTACAATGAAGAAAGAAAGATAGACAGATACATAAAAGAAAGTAAATTTCTCGCTGTATCTTTCTGTCTGTCTGTTCAATTACAGGTGGAAACAGGGGTCACTGCAGTCAAGCTAATACTGAGAAATGAATGAATGAATCAAGAATTGACATCCATGTACCTGCCATCAGGACACTCCCACACATACTTTGTCTTCTACTGAGAAATTAGTCCAATGAATTGTGACTAAAATGTGGGAAATGGAATAATATACACACAAGACAAATCGACGTTTTGGCTGGGGCGTTTCTTGACATGAATTACACAATAATATCAAAGGGGAAAGTACTCCAACTACCAGCCCCCACCAAGTACTGTTCAATTACAGAAGACTAATTTCTAGGAACGAGAGAAGCATAACTATTTTTGCATGGAAACAGGTCAAACAATTTAGGAAGCTGTACGAGTACGTGAGAAAATCTGGTTGTGGCTTACAATTGTGGGAGAGACTATGTTTCAGAAAATGAGATAAAACAATCAGGATGTGATTACTTACTTGCCCAACACTGTTCTCTGCATGACTGCTTTGGCCTCTTTCTCACTTGGCAGTTCTATTTCTAAGAAAGGGCTCTGCAAGTCAGAAAATACACATTAGTAAGGAACTTCTTTTTCTAACATAATTGCACAAAAAGACAGGAATAAAGCAAGCTGAAGCACATCTATAGATGAGGCAATTTTCCCACGAGAGACGTGCATTACAATCACCAGAGCAAGATTTTATCATAGTGATAGATACAACATCTTTGCCTCTGTGATCATTTCATTTTCTTTTGAACCTATTAAAAATATCTCCCATAGGTTACTAAACAAATTTTTAAGATTTATTTTTAAAAATTGTTTAAAACTGTGGTAAAATATATGAAGGCAGTAAACAATAAAATGTGAACATAGCTGACAAATGAATGAATAAATTATATTAAAAATTTTTCAAGGCAACCAGAAAATATTAAAAGACAAATTCTCACATCATAATGACTTTAAATTGCAACACCCCCCCCCCCCCCTCCCCCACACTGCTATATCAAGTAAATTTAACAGTGACTGGTGCAGGTGTAAACAGAACCAATGCCATTAACTAGGCTTAGCTGGATTTGGCTAAATCCATAACACCAACAGAGGGTTTGAACTTAACAAGCCATGAACAATGATGCACCTCACAGAGTGACATTCTTCGATATTTAGATAAATATGTAGGTGTGCTACCATCCCCCATAAATAAGAATACTTCAGCAATATAGTTAGCATGTTTCTTCTTCTACTTCTTTGTTAGTGTGATTTTTTGTTTAAAATATATCAGCATTATGGCTGTTTACAGAACAGCTGAGATGTCTGAGTATCTAGACAAACCCATCTGACTTCTTGAGGTTTAAGTTATCTGGGTTAGCCATCCCAGTTAGCTTTATGATAGACAGCAGTCTCTGAACAAGTGTATGCATTCTGGCTGTTCTCAAAGGAAGACAAGACATTAGACATTTACGGCAATCCAAGGAAACCTTTATAATTGCTGAGCTGAAACATGGCCCTCTGGTCCTGGGCTCACCTAAGGAATTGTTACTTCCTGCATATAAAAGCTTAACCCATTTCTGTACAAGGTGCCTCCTACTCATCAAGGGCTGTTTCTTTAGAAGTCAACAGGAAGCAGTTTGCAGACCCAAGACTTTGATTTGATGACCTCCACACAATAGGCATTTTGCTTTCTCAGCCCATGAGAAAGATATAATTGTTTTAGTGTCTTTCTCATCATAAAAACAAATAATCAAAAACTGACATCACTGGACTCGAGACGTTCCATTATATGCTCCGTGTAATGTTGTGAATTCCCGGGGAAATTCCAGAGAGTTCCGGATGGAAAGGACAAGGTCAAAGGACCAGTGATACAAGAGAAAAACGAGATAAGTGGGTCTCGTGTATCCCATGGTGAGTTAAATAAGGGATACAAGAAAAGCATGGGACTGGAACGGAAGAATTGAACTGAAAGACAGGAGTAAGACAGTTGAAGTTCGGACCTGGCTGCGAGAGGTCGTATGAGTGAACACCTGAGGAGAATGGAGAAACTGTGAATACTTGTAATGTTTCGAGAGAAGATATGAATGTTTCCTACATGAACTAATACCAGGTACAAGGCTTTGCTAGAGGATGGATGTGTGATTCGAAAGACGCTGATGAATCAAAAAAGTGTGTGAGAGGATTGACCAGGCCGTCAGAAATCAGGAAAGCAGACCGAACACGAGGACGACAGAATGCGTGCCTATGATATGTTGTAATTCAGTGAATAAAAGTATACAACTTAACATTCATCTCTGCCGTGTCGTAGCAACCAAATGTTCGTCATATAGCAATGTGGCTTACAAAAACAATCACCTAGCAGAGCTCATTGCACTCCGTCTCCTTCCTTAGTAGCCAGAGAACAGAAGACATGTTAATACTATCATAAAAAGACCCGAAGTAAAAAAAAAAAAAAGGATCACTTGCCCCATTGTCCACTTCTTTCTCCTTCAGCAATGCTCCACATCCCAGCATAGAGATCACAGATTTGACCTCCTGTAAGAAAATGAGATAAATAAAAATAAACGCAGACTAGCAGAACTGTTATCAGCAGTGATACTGCAGAACTGTTATCAGCAGTGATACTGCCATGTCTTCTTCTTCTTCGATCCATCTGTCAAAAAACGTTTCAGGAGGGTAGCCTTTATGAAAGCTATCGTGCAGTCTCTATCTTCTTGGACATGTATCGGACATCTGAACGTATGGTGGTACCTCAGATTACATCCAACTTGGTAACCCTTATATTAAGATGTGAAAAATTTTGGTTTGTGTAAGACCCTGTTTACCCTGCCCATTAATCAGAGGAAATGTTTGTAGAATTGATGATGTCAACAACTTTGCAGAGGAGTACCACCCCAAAAGTCATAGTATTATTGTCTGGAGTGACCAGACAATGTCACATTTCTAAAACATCCTGAGGAGAAGGCAGAAAGAAGAAAAGTTCTCTGGACAGATTTTTAAGTAACAGTCAATCCTGGTGAGCCTCAACCTAGTCCAAGTGTGTGTCGGGAAGGGTTGGGGGGGGGGGGGGGGGGGGGGGGGGGAGAGACAAGATGAAAACTCAAGAATTTTAGGTTTCTGAAGTTTGACTGGAAGGGGACTATCCTTCCAAACAATAACAACTCCTCATCAGCTCATTCTAGTGGGCACTCAACTTTTCTTAGCAAGGCTAACAGAGGTTACATTTTCTTTTATTTCAAGTGACTGCTTTTATATTCATGTCTTTTTAGTAAAGACGTAAAGCCAGTTTACTGGCTCATGATAGAGACACGCTAATTTTGTTCTGTTTGTAGGGAAAACGAACTTTTATGAACAAGTTTTTTAACAATTAGGATTAACAACAGGATGTAATTTCATTTGCGATGTTCATCGTAGTCGGTGCATTATTTTGTGATAAAAAAAAACTGTTTAGATGGTATACAATTTTTACAGGATTTTTCTATACTAAATGATAAGGGAAAAGGTCTAGAGCTGTTCATACTGCTCTATCGTTGTTGAATCTCTGCCAGATGGTGACAACAGTCTTGATGTTATAATTGATATCTAAGGGACAAATCTACTAGCGATAATTTAGTTTAGGATATGAAAATTTCACAAAATATTTCAATTAGATCAATGTTAAATCAGCTGTTTTTCCGATTTTCAGTTTCTGTGAAAATTGACATTTCATACAAAATGATTATAATATCCAAAGTATTTAAATTAATTGTTTCAAATAAAGACTAGCTAATACATAGCTGAACAGAGAAGGCATGTGTATTCTTAGAATTGGATAGCAGTGTTATTGAACTAGTAAAAAATAAGGTTAGCACACAATTTTTTATGTCAAAAATTTTCATATGTGTCTAACATCCTTGAATGTTGTGTGATTTTAATAATATTTTGATGTTATACCGACATTTAAGTAGTTTAGATTTATTCTGCACTCATTTAACTTTAATTTGATATATAATAAGTCCCGATACAGCCCATACTTTTTCTTCAGGAAGGTTTTAGCCTTGTCGTGTTGCACTAAAAAAAATTCTGCTCAAAATTAATGCTGTCCAAACCCTAGAAAAAATGCCGTCCTAAAAGAGTTAACTGTTAAGTAGTGCTAACATTATTTTTTTTAAACAGCTCTATCAATGGATAATATGCCAAAAACAATAGGATTTTGTCATGGCACTGGATTAATCATTATTACTCCCTTTACTTTATTTCTTATTATGGGAACATTCATTTGGTATATGTCCTGTTTGGTATATAAGTCCAAGGATCTTGAACAGATTTTAAGGATATGAACCAAGGAACAGCAGTGTATCACTGTATCTGTAATTACAGTAGTCAGTAGTACTCAACTGTAATTCACCTAATTCAGTAGGACTCTCATTCTGGCTGGATAAATATCCTTTTCTTACAGAGAATGTCAGTCAGCAAGAACATCAGACGGTCATTGTTCTTGTAGATTAGAAGAGCCTCTGCCTCTACGCGGGTAAGAGGAGGTTAAAAAAGTTTACTGAAATTACTAAAATAACGAACGGGACAGTCAGACAATAAACATGACATCTCGCTAAACAACAGATTTGCAGTCCTCTGTGATAAAACATTGGTAATTGCGCCGGTGAAAATTCCTGAAACTTCTGTCGTGTACCTGGAGTCTAAAATCCAGATGTTCATGTGCAAACTGTAAAAGATAACGCTTAGGTGCGCACGTTATGCGAGCTGCCATCTTGGAATACAGGTTATTTAAAATTGTGGAACAATTGTTTTAGCATGTGTCGTGGTCGCGCGTTGGTGAGTCCTTTCTTTCCTTTCCATCTTATAGACATTCTTTACTGCCAGACTAGGACAACGGGTTAAAAGGGCCGTCTTTCCGCGTGAGCACACTAGACAGTTGTTCTAGGGCCGTACAGTCACAGAGTCTCCTTCCTATCCTAATGTGTGCAAAGAGCAAACCAAAATAGTGAGTGAAGTTGAACCCAAATAAGTCAGCATACTGGGCGATTAACACTAGGTGACACAAAGTGCAAAGTGTCATAATTCGAATGAGAATCCCCCAGGTACACTGGTACACATCACAAAATAACTTCATAACAGAGCAAAAGCAGCCTTCATCAAAGAGAGAAATAATCAGATGAGGGGAAGCTGGCACACGAAGACAGCGTCATTTAACCTCGAGAAGGACACTTCACGTCTGTGGAATCTCACAAAAGCAGCAGATGTGCTAGCTGAAACACACCAGAAGGAAACTGAGGTTCATATTCCCATGCAAAGAATAAAAGAAGTACGAAACCAGACCAAGACTCTTCTAGCAGACTCTAGCACAAAAACAACCGAGGCCTGCATGTCAGAAAAGTTTACCATGCAAGAGCTGGAAGTTGGAATTGGAGAGATGAAAACGAAGAAAGCCCCAGGGGCTGACGGCATTACAAACGAATTTCTCTCTCATCTTGGACCTGCTGCCAAGAAGTTTCTTTTCTGCATTTACAATCAGAGCTGGCAAAAAGGTGTGGTACCGTCAGCCTGGAAGGAAGCTCTCATCCAGCCTATCCTTAAAAAGGGTGGAGACAGGAGAGACCCAAAAAGCTACAGACCCATCAGCCTTCTTAGTTGTTTAGGAAAATTGATGGAGAAATTAGTAAATAAAAGACTAATATGGTTCTTGGAGACAAACGCTGTAATCACCACCACACAGACAGGATACAGATAGCACAGGAACACAGAGGACCAGTTGACATATCTGGCACAGGAAATAGAGAATGTCTTCCAGGAAAAAAAAGAAAGTTCTTGCTGTCTTCTTTGACCTCTCTCGTGCTTTCGATACAGTTTGGAAAGAGGGCCTACAACTAAAACTGCTACAGGCAGGAGTTGTGCACAACATGTACAAGTAGATCAAAGACTTTCTTTTCCAATGCAGAGCCTATTCAGAATTGATGGACACGTAGGCAAACTGGCAAAACTAAGAGAAGGAGTTCCCCAGGGCAGTGCGATAGCACCAACTCTGTTCCTGGTTTACATAAATGATATCACAGCAACCTGCCACCAGCACGTTTATAATACCCTACATGCTGATGACTTTGCAGTTTGGACAGCCTCCGAATACACTACCACAGCCTCATATCTGTTACAGAAAACTGTGGAAAATGTAGAAGCCTGGACCGAAAAGTGGGGTCTAAAGCTAAATAATTTAAAAAGCACAGCATCACTTTTCTCTCTCTCCCCCCAAAAAAGAAAAAAATCGAAATTCGGATAAAAAAACCAGCTCATTCCACAGACTGACACTCCTACTTTTCTTGGCGTTACACTTGATTCGCGACTAACTTGGAAGTCACAGGTAGAAGCAGTACAGGGGAAAGCTTTCAAGAAGCTTGCAGTGATGAAAAAATTAGCGGGTACCACATGGGGAGCTAACTCCAGAATCCTCAAACAAGTATATACTGGAGCAGTCAGGCCAGTCATGGAATATGCATCCACTGCATGGGCTGCAGCAGCCAAGACAACAATGGGAAAACTGGACAAGGTTCAGAATATGGGATTAAGGATTGTTCTCGGAGCCATAAAATCCACCCCCATCAGAGAGATAGAGAGGATAGAAGATACTGAACCACTCGAACTCAGAAGACAATACAAAACTCTTTTACAGTATGAGAAATTAAAAAACTTCAAAGTCATCCACTGCATTTTAAATTTCAAGAGAGAACAAAAAACAGACTGAATCGTCAGAGCCTCAACCACATTGCTAGAGAACTGTACAGACAGCACCAAGATCTGCTTGAAAGAGATGTAGCTTTGTGCAAAAAACTTAGACCAGAACCATGGACAAGCAAGCCAGAGAAGGCAAATGTAGTTCTAAAGGTACCATGGATCACTTCAAAAGATGCCCAGACGGAGACACAACAGAGAACCATGGCTCTTGCGATGCTTGAGGAGAAGTATCCAAACACCACTTGGACTCAGGTTTTCACGGATCTGCTACAGATGCAGTCAGAAAGGGGGGTTGTGGAATATACATTAAACCCCCTAGCAGTAGAGCAGAAACTCTCTCTCTACCAGCAGGTGACATCTGCACTAACTTCAGAGCTGAGGCAACTGCCCTCCTTTCTGCAGTCCAACATCTCATCACTCAAGAACACAGAGGGCACAAAATTCCTATACTTAGTGACTCATTGTCTGTTCTCCAAGCACTATCAAGCAAAAAACAAGACAAACTAATTGCAAATATAAGGACCAACATTGGCTTACTCTCCAAGGAAGCAGAACTGGTCTTGCAGTGGATACCAGCCCACTGTGGTATTCAAGGAAATGAGAGAGCAGATGAGTTGGCAAAAGCTGGGAGTAATCTTCCACAACCTCATCCACCACACAGCTACAAGGAAACCAAAACAGCACTAAAGCAGTCTTTCAAGCGGGAGTGGAGAAAGCATAATAGAGATTACAGACCAGAGAGTGACAGCATAAACAAACTCAAAAGGAAAGAACAAACATCAATTTTTAGACTTCGGACTGGACACTGTGGTCTTCGAGCACACCTGTACAGGATAGGCATAAACGAATCTGCTGCCTGTGATTGTGGAGCAGAAAGACAGACCCCTGAGCACATACTGCAGTACTGCCCTTACCTCTCCAGGCAAAGACTGTGGATCTGGCCCAGGGGATCCACATTGCGAGAGAAGCTATGGCGGACCGGTGGCGATCTTAAAAGCACAATCCCATTTTTGACCCAGACGGGACTCAATGTGTAGCATGACTGATGTCGAACGCAGAAAAAGAAGAAAGAACAAAATACCCCCGCTCAACCGTAGGAGCTATGGCTCTCATCCCAGTATTGTGTTTTCAATGTTGTGTTTGTGTATATGACAATAACCCTAATTATAACTCCGTCACCGCAAAGGAGAGAAACCAACAGGAGTGTCAAGAAAGCAAAACAAGCATCCTGGGAACGTTTCGGTGAGTCACTAGCAGAAAATGAGAAAACAGCCAGCAGAAAATTTTCAAAGTAGTTAAAAATATGCGGAAAAGAGATGAGAGCTACAACCCCACTGAAATAATTAATTATAAGACAGGAAGGCCATTGATAGATCCACCCGAGATAGCAGAAAGATGGAGGGAATACTTCAATGAGCTCTTTAATCCTCTAGGAGATCATCAGGAAAGAACAACTGAAGAGCACAGAGCAACAGTGTTAGAACCACACATACTAATGAATGAAATAGAAAAAGTCATTAAACAGTCTCCCAAAAATAAAGCACCAGGAGCTGATAGATTACCAACAGAAATAATTCAAGCAGCAGGTGAAAGCAGCATCAGATGGCTTCACAGAATATTCAATGCAGCATGGGTACAACAAACGGCCCCTATTGATTGGCAACATCCAATAGTTATACCATTGTGGAAGAACAAAGGAAGCAAACGAGAATGCGGTCAATATCGAGGCATCTCTCTTTTAAGCCATGTTGGCAAAATGTATGCCAAGATAATAGAAACAAGACTGAGACCAGTGATAGAACCACAGCTGGCAGAAGAACAGATGGGATTTAGGAGAAATAGAAGCTGCACAGATGCAATCTTCACACTTAAACAGTTAATAGAAAAGAACATTGAATACAATAAGAACTTATTTGTGGCATTCGTAGACCAGGAGAAGGCATTTGACAGAGTTGACAAACAATTATTATGGAAAATAATGGCAAGATATGGAGTAAGCGAACACCTCATCGAAGTGTGCAAAAGTTTATACAGGGGTTGTAGAAGTGTAGTTAGAATAAATCAGGGAACATCTCACCCTTTCACAGTGACATCTGGAGTAAGACAGGGGTGTGTCTTATCACCACTGCTGTTTATCACCTACATCGACAGTATATGCAAGAATGCCAAGCCCATGAATGAAGATCTTAGTAAGATCAACGAATTACTCTTTGCAGACGACCAGGCCTTGATAGCAGATACAGCCATGAAATTGCAACAACATCTAACATCCATGAATGAAGAATGTAAAACAAATAATATGAGAATCAACACTGAAAAGACAGAAGTAATGTCAATAGGAAAAAAGAAGACAGATCTAAACATAGCAATAGAATACAAAGGCATTAAACAGGCATCTGAGTTTAAATATCTGGGAACTACATTTACCGAAGATGGGAAATTGGATAAAGAAATTGACATTAGATGCAGTAAAGCAAACCAAGTATTGGGACAGCTAGCCCGCCTCTTACAGCATAAGACAATCCCAATCAGCACAAAGAGACATCTTATTCAAAGCATATTTATTCCAACTCTGTGCTACCAGTGCCAGACATGGTCACTCACAACAAACCATAAAAGAAAATTAGTAACCACGGAAATGAGATGTCTGAGAAGGGCTGTAGGAATGACCATAAGAGATAAGATCAGGAATGAGATCATAAGAGAACAAGTCGGCACAGAACCAATTCTGGATTACATACAAAGACAGCAAGTGAAGTGGTTTGCCCACTTAGAGCGAATGCTTTGTGACACCATACCATACAAAGCATACATGGAAAGAGAAGAAGGACGTAGAGCACGGGGTAGACCAAGAACAAGATGGAAGGATAACATCAGAGAAACTCTACAACAGCACGATGTGCCTATGGTCGAGGCAGCCAGAAGAGCTAGAAACAGAACCTTATATCTCCCTCGACACCCACAGCGGTAAAAGAGGAAGTGAAGAAGAAGAAGAAGAAGACGGCGATGAGGGCGACGTTCTGCAAAGGACCTGCTATATAATGATGCTGATGATGTTTACAGGTGGTGGATGGAGTGTAAGAGCAGCCGACAGGTATTGTTGGTTATGGTCTGCACTCTGCGGCGATAGGCAGATGATCTCATCAGTAGAGACAATGGCTATGGCCACCGACTAGTATAGTCACTGCTCAGGAGGAAAGCAACGGCAAACTACCTTCTGCAAATTTTGCCAAGAATCCATAACAATCATGAAAGAAAACATAACACAGAAGAGATCCGGTGGCGAGACCCCCAGGCCAGGCAGATCAGATAACACTGGGGAAGAGTGTGATACAGGGGTCAGTACTAGTAATCGTGATGACAGAGTTAATCCTGACTGTGTTACCAAGGAAATCCACTGTGTCAGACTAAGAAACAGAATGCGAACAGGAACGTGGAATGTGAGAAGTCTGTATAAAGGAAAGCTTAAAGAAGTATGTGATGAGATTGAAAGATTAAATATTCAGATCTTAGGAATTTGTGAACATCGTTGGAGTGGCAAGGGACATTTTATCAATGAATATGGAAGCTTTTTCGTATATTCTGGTAGAGATGTAAGAGGCCAGAGCGGTGTGGCATTTTGTTTAGATAAAACAACAGCAAAAGCTATTATGGGATATAATCCAGTTAGTGATAGAATCCTAACTATCAGACTTAAAGGCCGTCCAAAAAACATAACTTTCATGCAGGTATATGCACCAACTTCAACAGCAGAGGAGGGCGAAATTGAAGATTTTTATGCCATACTGCAAGACACATTAAATAAAATTAATCAGAATGATATAATAATGGGAGATTTTAATGCTAAAGTAGGTACAGGCAGAGCTGAAAATGAGAGACACGTTTTAGGAAAATTTGGATTGGGTAATAGAAATGAAACAGGAGAAAAATTGATTGAATTTTGCATAGAAAATGAATTAACAATAGCTAACACACTTTATAAACAACACCCTAGAAGGCTTTTCACATGGACATCCCCTGACGGTGTTACCAAAAATCAGATAGATTACATTTTAATACAAAGAAGATGGAGATCGAGCATAACATCTGCAAAAACCCTGCGAAGTGCAGATTGCGATACAGATCATCAGTTTACTAGAAGCAGATCTGAAATTAAAACTCAAAAAGCTTACCCGAGGACCAAGGCCATTTCGATTTGATCTCACAAAAATACCAGATGCATACAACGTAGAAGTGAAGAACCGTTTTGAGGTCTTGATGTCTGTACAAGAGGAAATGACACCTGATGAACTGGCGGTACAAGCTAGGGATATCTTGATAACAGCAGCTAAAGACCTAATACCCACCAAGACTAAGCAACATAAACCATGGATCACACCATACACGTTAGAACTAATAAAACAACGAAGGGAACTGAAAAAGAAAGGAGAAACCAATGACAGTAGGATGAAGTATAAATTTTTTAACACGAGAAATAAGAAAGTACACAAGAAAGGATAAAAATCAGTATGTACAAGATTGCTGTATTAAAATAGAGCAGCATCATAAAAATGGAAGAGATTACGAAATGTTCAAGGAAATGAAGTTATTGACAAGAAATTTTCAACCTCAGTTAAATGTTATTTGTGACAAGTTGGGAAATACTTTAACAGAATCTAGACAAATTCTAGGAAGATGGCAGGAATACTGCAGCGGAATGTATGATATGAATGACAGTGAGGATATGAATGATGTACATGAACCAGTAACAGTAGAGGCAGAACCTGAACCTTCATTAGATGAAATTTCATGGGCAATAAGGAGCCTGAAAAATGGTAAATCACCTGGATGTGATGAGATACCAGCTGAATTGATTAAAGCGGGAGGAGAAGGAAGCATAAAAATCTATCATGCATTATGTGAAAAGATATGGAAATATGGTATTTGGCCAAAAGACTGGAAGAGAACTATCTTCATTCCAATACCAAAAAAGGGTGACCTGAAATTATGTACAAACTATCGAACTATTGCCCTGATCAGTCATGCAAGTAAAATTCTACTAAAAATTATAATGAGAAGACTGCATAAGAAAATGGAAGAAGAGATTAATGTAGCTCAGGCTGGATTTAGACAGGGAAGAGGAACAAGAGATCATATATTCAACATGCTTTTAATAATAGAGAAGTGTAGAGAATTTAATGTAAATCTGTTCTTATGTTTTGTGGATTATTCAAAAGCATTTGACTGTGTACAACATCAGAAGCTTTGGGAAATCATGAGGAATATGGGCTTTCCATCACATTTAGTGCAGCTCATTAAAATGCTCTATCAAGACCAACAAGCAGCAGTCAGAATAGATGGAGAGACATCCGACTGGTTTGGCATCAAGCAAGGAGTCCGTCAGGGATGTGTGCTGTCACCGTATTTGTTCAACCTGTACGCCGAAAATATAATGAGAAATGTAAGAGATGATATAAACAAGGAACAATATGATGCCCTAAACATCGGTGGTCATGAAATACCAGAAATTCGTTATGCTGATGATACAGTATTACTATCAACATCACAAAATGGTTTAGAAAACTTATTAACCTCACTCCAAAGAAATAGTGAAAATCATAACTTATTTCTTAACACAGCAAAAACAAAGATAATGCATACAAACAAAACTGCCATGGAGAAGGAAATATATGTTAATGAGGAAAGATTGGAAGTGGTGGAAAATTTCGAATATCTTGGGTCACTGGTTACCAACAATGGTGACACAATGAAAGAAATTAAACGGCGACTATCAATTGCTCTTCAAAGATTAAAACACCTGAATAAATTATGGAATTGTACAGATAGAATTACGAAGGTCAGATTTTTAAGAGCATGCATCTTTCCCATTGCAACATACGCCTGTGAGACCTGGACACTTACTAAACAAGCGGAACAGCGCATAAATGCATTTGAATATAAATGTTACAGACAGGTTCTAAGAATATCTTGGGTAAAGAAAAGAACAAATGCATCCATACTTCAAGAGCTGAATATTGAAGAGGGTTGGCTAGTAAAGACAATAAAACAAAGAAAATTGAAATATTTTGGTCACTTGAAACGTCATGGAAGTCTAGAGAGAACAATAATGGAGGGGTATATGCCTGGGAAGAGAGGAAGAGGAAGGCCAAGGAGAAGATGGGTGCAGGATGTGGCAGATGATCTCCAGATGGGTGTATCATACGCAGGACATCTTGCTCATGATAGGAAGGTTTTCCGGAGGGTTGTTATGGCAGCGAGGTTCCGCGAGGGACATGCTACTGAATGAATGAATGAATGAATGATGATGTTTAGCTGTCCGATGGGCAGCGAAACAATGTCCACTGTTTTGGTGGACCGCGGATGTGAAGAGGTTCAGAAAGACTGCTCCAGAGTTCTTACCGGACATCAATCGTTTGCGAGCCTCGTGTTTGACACTTCTGAACCTCACTATTCTAACTTAAAAGAAAAATGTTTATGCTTGTTCACTCATTCATTTCAGGACAAAAATTATAAACTTTAACCTCGTTCAACCAGCAGCCAGCTTCAGTTATAACTGAAGACTTTGTTGAGATATTCCTCCTTCGTATTTCTTTGTGGTCTACTCGTTAGGTTAGTAGGTTAAGGGGATGTTATCTCTCTTGAAGACGGTAGTTTTCAGTTCTTGAGCTCGACACATTGACAGTCAAGTCATTCGGCACTCAAAGGAGCTTGCATGTGTCGGAGTGAGATTCATGTAGCGATTTGTTACCACTCGGTATCAAGGCACCATCTCCACATGACATGGTTGTTTACCTCTCCACCCCTTCTCCGTTTTAAATGCGGAAACCAGAAATAGTTTCAAACCTGTTATCATAAACTTGACTTATGAGAAGAAGACTGTTTTTAGAACTTGACATATGTGGAGAAGACCGTTATTAAAAGTGAGTTGAGTCCAGAATTGACATCACAGCAGTCAGGACATTCCCATACATGCTCCGTCCTCATCTTCAGCAGCCAGCGCAGAGTTCCAAAACTGATGGTAGCGGTCGCAATTTGGTTATATGTCCGTCTTACCTTTCCTCTAAGTGTAGTGAGCCGGTCAGTCCCTCTGGTTACACTCAGGTGCCTCATTCTCTCCAAGCCGTAATAATTTCCTCTCTACTGATTCAGTTTCTTGTTAAAAAAAACGAACTGCACACGTAACATAAAAACGAAAGAAACAGCTACACATGACAGTGCATGAAAACACTAGTGCTAAATATTGGATTTGTCAATTAAGGTCCAATACAAAAATATTTAGTACAATTAAAAGTAAAGTAAATATACATTATCTTCAACTTTTGCATGTCTAGCTCAACGTGCAAGGATTAGTTTTTAATCGGCGTCGTTGTAAAAAACAAAGTGTTGAACGTGTTTCTGAATTTTGAACTCATTTTATAATAAACAATAATATTGATACTGGAGTTTATAGAGTCAACCAGAAAGGCGAACGACCAGGACAGTAGAAAGGCGTTGCGGTACAAGCCAACAACAATGAAATTAGGTTCGATAGTAGTCAGTATATAGTTGACAAGCATCGGCAGAAAACAAATACAGTAGATAACGGCAATCAGCACAATCATTTTAACCACTTTGTTGTCCCTCTTACTGATGACTGCTGAGGAGTTTGCGCCGCTATGGGCTATTGAGGATCGCCATTTCGATTTTTCTTTCACTTTGATGACAAGTACGGATGTAAAAACTATGACTGCTCCAAAAGAACTGATTTGAGTACAGGCTGCAAGATTGAAGCTCAGCGCTGCCATTTGGTCTCTGCCTTTCAAAAACAAAAGCCCCAGCATGGTTCGATTGTAAGTGGAATCGAACTTCCAGTCTAGATAGCAGGTCAGGTAGTCGGGCAGAAGTGTAAGGAACATCACCAAGAAAATGGACACTAAAACGCAGACGGCAACAGTCGGGTTGACGATCCTCTTGACCTTTAATGGCACCACCACACAAAGACACCTCTCCAAGGTGATGTACACCGTTATCCAACTGGTTATTCTGGCAAAGCAGGCGTGAGGCCAGGCAGCTGTCAAATGCTGCACCTCGTCCGGCAAGAATGGAACCCTGTAGATAAAGAGCGGGTTTCGAAGCAGATTCACCCATTGCAGTGTTATTAAAGCACAGAGATCTGACACTGCTAGTGCAAACAGACTAATGTTGACAGTATCGTTAAACCCTTGTTTCAGAAATACCACAATATTTAATATATTAGCCACAATGCCGAGTACTGATATAATTCCCGCCAAAAATGCCAAATTTACTGTGTGAAATATTTCTACTAAATAATCGCTTATGAAACCAAACTTATGGTCGGAACCCTGCAGCATTTTGCATTTAAAAAAACGCGAGGTATTCTCAAGAATGCTTTAGTTTATACACAAGTTATTTTATACTAACAATCGCTGGCATTTTACACAAGTTATTTTATACTAACAATCGCTGGCATTTTACACAAGTTATTTTATACTAACAATCGCTGGCATTTTACACAAGTTATTTTATACTAACAATCGCTGGCATTTTACACAAGTTATTTTATACTAACAATCGCTGGCATTTTACACAAGTTATTTTATACTAACCATCACTGGGTGCTTATTAAAAGCTTCTCAACTTTACTAAATACTAGCGATCATTTATTGCTTATTAAAAATCACACAGTTTAGCTCAAAATTAACCATCACTTGTGTTCAAAAGTTACAGAATTTTACTCAATATTATCGATGACATAGTACTTATTAAAAGCTAAACTTGAGATCAGTAATTAAAAGCTACACAAAATTAGACAACTGTAGACTTCAATGCCCGTTGAAACCCTGGCACGGTGGGTCGCTGAAGAATGCCCCAAAATACAATAACAAACGTGGCAGTCTCCGGAAAAACAGCGTTTAAAGCGGGCGATAAATCCACGTGGATAAATACACACATCCAGAAACCAGGTTTTGAAGCAGTCAAACTGAATTTTATTGTCACAGTAATGGAAAACATAAATCACTGTGTTCAGAATCGGAAGCAAATAAAGCTTGCTCGCTTACTCATTTGTTACACTGTGTTATGTGGATGTATCAGTTTGCATTCTTTCTTTGAAAATATTTAAAGTTCAGTCACTTTGGGCAAGATTTGATGTAATTGTCAGATGATCATGGCTAGGGACAAAGGCTACAAAATGTTTCGTGTAATTTTACAATCTCTACAGCTAGAAAAAGTGCCCATAAAGCAGTTCTGGTGAAATCTTCCTTGTTCTGAACGCTTTCTACAAAACTGTTCCTGTCAAATCTTCACACTTAAGAGCACTTATATGAAACTGTTCTTCTCAAATCTTCGCAGTTAGGGAAACTTTATACAAAATTATTAGTGTGCAACCTTCGCATTTAATGTCAGTTACTGCAAAACTGTTTTTGTTAAATGTTTGTAGCCAAAGACACTTTGTGCAAGAATGCACGTAATTCGCTAGCATTCGTTGTTACTGACAGCACAAATCCCCAGTCTTCAAATCTCACGTTTTGTGAGAGGGTTTTCAGATAGGTCAGATCTGTAAAACGGATGTACATGCAAAACTCATGTTCTGGAATAAGATCACAGACAGAAGTGAACGAACAACCAAAATGTTCCGCTGAAGTTTAAAATCTATGAACGCTAAGCAGAAGAAGAAGAAGGAAAAGAAGAAGAAAAAGTCTTCAATTCACGTTGGCATCTATGTCAAGTTCCATCTTTGACTTATCCAATATCCGTAATGATAAGAACATCGATCGAGAAAATGCGACAGTGTATATTGATACTTTTGCTGCAAGATGAGTTTACATAAAACTGAACTCTCCCTCTGCTTTAAACTTTGGCATGAAGTTCGTCGACTTCTGGACTTCGGTTTTGTTCCAGACCTTGACTTTTGCGTGCACATCACTATCACCGATCTGGCGTATTTTTATGCAGACTGTTGGTTCCTCGCCTTTCAGGGAGATGCACTCTTAAGTAGACACTTTTTATGATCTGATTGGTGGGGTAGGGACGCAAGGAAAAACAATTTCGAGGGTGGATTGGGAGCCAAACGTGGACACAACTCAACAAACATTAACCGCCGAGTTATCAGCTTTAGTGGGTGTCGAATTTAAATGTATGCAGAATGGGAGAGTCCTAGTCATAGTCCTTTTGAGAAAAAAAAATGAAAAGGTCGACCACTTTCAGACTGCTGCTAGCTAGCTAGCCGAGGCTGCTAACAGTCTCCGCCTATATTTGTGGTCTGGGTTATTTGTGTCACTTTCGTGACTAAATTCTAGTATTGCGACATTTCTGGGCTTGATGCTTCCATCCGGTTCCACCGCTCGTCCTGCACCGTTGTTAGCTGTTCGTTTCTTTCCTTTTCTTATCTGGTGTCTCCTCTTGGTGTCATCTCTCTCTATCTCTGATTTGGGAATGGGAGAGAGTCGGCAGCCATAGGATGTCCAGAGAATCAGACCTCCAGGACCACCCAGGGTTCGCCTGTAAGACAACACCCGATAGTCCCTGACCGACAGAGGACTCGAATGGAACAAAGCCAGAAAGAAAACTGTCGAAAGAGAAAACTGACGATCTCTCTGGCAATTTTCTACATCCCAAGGTGAAGATCTACTAAGTTAGTTAGTAAAAAAAAAAGTAAGTCAGAGTCAAATAAAATACATGCATTTTATAATATCTCAGCCCCCCGTGTGGGTTCCGGGGCCCCATTGTGGCGAAAACAAGAATAGACCCACTGCCTTTCCAAAATCATGTCGTAAGAGTCGACTAATTGGGGAGCTTCCTTTGAAGTCGGAGTGCATCTGCCGGAGAGGCAAGGAACCAACAGTCTGTATTCAAGAGAATGATGTCTGTAAAACTGATGCACACGCAACACTCAGGTTCTGGAGCAAGATTGCAGTTCAGTAGTGGACGAGCAACCAGAACTTTCCGCCAGTGTACAGCTGGTGAACGCGAAGAAGAAAGATAATATCTTAGCAATAATATTTGATTAACCCACGCCCCTCTTTTTCCCACCAAACCTGCCCCGGTATGAAGAGTATACCAGTGAAGTTCCCAATGTAGCCATTACATATCATTACATATGCCCTATTATAATTTCTGAAGCCGCAGCGGCTTGTAGCTAGCCTGCGAAACCTAAGTTCGTAGGTTCAAATTCGAACGAAACCGCAATAATTTTGTTTATGACCTTGACTCCCAGGTCGACCCAACCTTTAGTGGGTACCAAGTGGAGACGTGAAGTAAAGAAGCAAAGGCGGACGGTGTGATGATGACCACAGCACCCACCGTATGCCAATTGGTTTATAAAATATAGATCTAGCCCTATGTGCCCCATATGGCTAAAGGCGTAGAAAATGGTGTTTGACTTCATTTATATTTTGTTTGGGGTTGAGGATGGTAAGAGGGTGGGACAGGGTGTCTGCGATTAGCCCTGTTGGTCTGCCAATCAGGAGTGGTCGTAGGGGTGGTGAAGCTTTCACACAACCGGCAGGGAGGGGAACTGCACAAACAGATCTTGGCTATATGACCCAGAAGTTATAACAGTAAAATCTAGCTAACATGAACTCGCTTAAGGGGCGGTCCTACCTGAACACAAGTACTAGGTTGTTATTAGCAAATGATCAAACTAAATATCAAAATATCTACTTGAAATTTCGTGAGCATGTGCTTTTTCTTCTTCTTCCTCCTTCTCCTCCTCCTCATCTTCTTCTTCTTATTCTTCGATCCGTCTGTCAGAAAACTTATATCAGGAGACCGGTAGCCTTTATGAAAGCTATCGTACAGTCCATATCCTCTCGTGTACCATACAGTTTTGTCTTTATTGTGGTTGAAACAGGCCAGATTGCGTCTCTGTTGTCAGCTTACAGTTGACAGTGTTGGAGCACATGCTCAGCATTTTCGGGTGCCACGCTGCAGGGACACGTCTCCGTGTTTCCTACACCGAAAAATTTGAAATATGTTGACGAAGTATGTTGTGCCCAGTCCTTAGTCTGAATATAATAGATAGGCGATGAAGCGAGTTTTGGGAAGAGAATCTGGTGTGTGTATCCAGCCACTTTTCTTGGATACTAGATTGTATTCATGTTTTCGTCTCTTGGTTGTACCATGTCACTGCTGCTTCTGGCCAGTCTGTCCGCTATTTCATTGCCTTCCAAGCCACAGTGACCTGGAATCCACTGCAGTACTGATTGTTCTACTGAAGAACCTAAGTGAATCAGCTGTTGCGTCAAGTCTACATACTGAGTGTCTTTTGGGTTAACAATTGCTTGTAGAACTGACATAGCATCAATCAGAAAGACCACTCTGATAAATTTGCTGTGCTGTTGTCCATTCAGGAAAGAACATGCCGCCAGAAGTGCTTCTGCCTCTGCTCTGTAATTGGAGGAATAAGAACTTGTTGGTACAGCTGGTTGATTTTTAAACCATTTGGGCATTCTATGTATATTCCTCCTCCTCCGTCTCTTACTGCTCTCTTGGCCCAACCATCTGTATACACTCGAATCCAACTCTGGCGTGGATAAAGTCTATTGACCTCTCCTTCTGTAGTTGATTTCATATTAGTGCTGATCGTTGATGATTTGGAGGAGATCCCTGTTACAGTGGTTCTGACTGTTGGCAGCATGTGCTTGAAGTATGACAGTTTAGTGATGAATTTGTGTGTGTGTGTGTGTGTGTGTGTGTGTGTGGGTAACCTTGCGAAATTATTATTAAATTGAAAAATACTGTAACAGTGAATTTGTAAAAAGTTGTTGGTTTTAAATATACACATATTTTCTGAACTAACCTTACAGCAGTCCTGATTTTTTTGGAGTCAGGGCATTTCACTATTTTAGTTAGATCCACTACCTTCAGTTTTTCTGTACTAGTAATACTTTTGAAGTTATGAAGTGGTATAATTAAGGTGCGTAATCCGTAGACAAACCCAGTGCGCAAAATCTATCTCCTGGCTGATGACTTCACCGTGTAGGTTCCGAAGTCCTATTATTGGTGAAAAAGGGGGGGGGGGGGTGTGTGGCGGGAAGGGGTAGACTCACTGCCACTAAATACCAGCACCAAGCGCGTTTGTCTGCCGGCTGATGGTTGTGTGTTTGAAACCCAGTTGAGGGAAGGATTTAGAAGATGAAATGGAAAGGAAATAGCAGACGAGAAGAAATGAAGCGAAGAAAGAAAGCCAGTCGGCAGGCAGTCAGGCAAATAGACGACCGAGAGATGAACAGGCAAGCAGAAAGATATTCAGATATATAGACATATTAGACAGACAGACAGACATATAGACAGACAGACAGACATATAGACAGACAGACAGACAGACAGACAGACAGACAGACAGACAGAC